ATGGTCGCTAATTTTGGCGATTTTTTGCAATTTCTTGCTAAATTTAATAACAAAAATTAGTTGCCAAAACCATCGCCAGCTTGGCAATGCACAGCCAATTTAGAGAGATAACCATTTGCCACAATGTTAGACTTCCCTCTGTATTCTTATTTTTCCGGCAGAGCTTTGTCTTTTTCAAGCATTTTCTATTACATTGCATAAAAAATACTACCATTTCACTCATAATTTCATTAAAATTATTTACAGACATACAAAATTCGTAACCACACTTTTTATCTCTCTCTCTCACACACACATATATAAAACAAAACAAACAAACAAAAAATCTGTGAAAGGTTTCAGATTTTAAATTACGTCCAAAGCGGCGTTTTTTTAACGTTTTGTGTGTTACCTTTATTGATTAAATATCATGTTCTTTGTACTTAAACCATAAAATTCAGTTCAACAGCAATGTCGCAAAATAGTTCCGTGCCCTGGAGATGAAAAGATTTTTTTTTTTTTCTTCTCCCGTAGAGTGTTGTTAATACTCGCTTTTAAATCGTTGAGTTTGTTAACCAAAATTCATAAGTTTTACAAAATATGAAATCGATAATTAAACAAATTTCAAATTTGGGCTTTCAGATGCCCATATTCGCAGTAGGGTCACGTAATTCTAAATTGGATGGCTCTAGGTTCCGTTGTTTTATCACAATGCAAGAAACATACATCCATTTATGCATCTTCTTCATTATTTAATTTCTTCAAATATAATACAGGGCTATAGTATTTAGCGGCAACGATTTGAAAAGAGATACAGCCTTTTTAATGTTTTCAACGCGAAATCGCAAAATGAAAACAATAGTCTTGCAAAAATCAAAAACAGAAACACAGTAGTAAATTACACGAAAGGTTAAAAATTAGAAAGAAAAAAGGAATTTACATCCTTCACCGCATCATCAACAAGGGGTTGGTTCAGCAAAAGAAGCAAATACATAGCTGTTTATAAACTAACAAAGATACAAATTAAAATAATCTCAGGAAGTTAATCGAAGTAATCTCTGTCGGTGCAACTCCTACAGGTATTAATTTAACATATTAATTTAAAGTTCTTTGCATAATTCCCACCACTTGTTGCTGCTGTTGTTGCACTTGTTGCACTTGTTGCAACTGGATTAGATTTTGAACTACATTTTGCTTTGTGTTTATGCCTTAGACGTTCTGTCGACTTTTTATTGTAATGTGATGATTTGGAGTTTGCAACGGATTGACGATGGTTCTCCGCGTTATAACTTGGAGAGGCTTTACTGCGTAGTTAGAAAGATGACACTCGAAGGACAAACTTGTAGACGTGGCCGAATCGAACACAATTTTTACTGCTGGACACGAAGTAATTATCGAATCATATTCTTCATCACACATGATAATGGGCGCGCAATACACAACCCACAACTTTATACAGATTATCACATTTAAGATATCCGCATAGTCAGCAACACGACAAAGCAAAGGGAGCAAAGTAGCATCTTGGAAGCAGGAGAGCAGAGAGAAATAGTGTTTTAACAGGAAGAGAGGCAGAAGCTAAAGCGCACAGTTATCCAATATAGAGGCTGACCAAGAGAAGGTTTTGGTTTAGATTAGAAAGATTTCAGTTCTCGAAATTTTGAGTTCGTGCTTCGAATGAGCTACGTCATCAGTGTTATGCATGCAATGTGACATAGATTAATCTAGAAATGGGGCAGTCCAAAAAAGTTATTTCTTGTTTTAGAATACAGAGAGGAAATACCCAAATTAAAAATGAGGGATTAAGAGACTATTACTAAATTAAATTATAAAGCTTTTAATTTGTAGGCATATTATCTATACAACGCGCGTCTTTTTCTTTACGAAGAACCCTGAAAGATATCGTTGCGTGTTTACGGGTTCCTAATAGATTGGATGCACAAGTCTGATGAAAAGTTAATAAAATTTATTCTTATCACAAGAAATAAAACAAAATGCTGAAATATTTCCGCACAGATATTCGTACAATATCACAGTATCACACATATTTCAAGAGATTCTCCAAGTTCACAGATGACATTTATTACGATGATTAAAGACAATACACAACACTATATCGGACGAAAGACAAATTTACTTAAAGAATGGCGCTACAAGATTGCATTCCTTATTGACGCTTCAAGACACGTCTTCACATGAAGAGTTACAGGGCCTAACTGTTACAGGGCACTTGGCGCGTACTCGAGAAGCATTACTCATTCTTCATGTACTTCTGCTTCAAAATAACCTAATGGTTCTACACATCTTTCTTTGATAATAATAGTCATGGTCTCTGAACTAGACTGGAAAATTTAATCTAATTAATTGGCGTACAAACTACTATTCGGTACTAAAGTATAGTTTTGGAATAAACATGTTAAAGGATAGTACTTACTACTTTCAGGAAAATTCTGGAATAAACATGTAAAGGAAATTAGATGAAGAAATAATCCCTAATTTTTTTATCTTCGTATAAAGTTTATGTTTATGGAAAGCATAACTTGCACCAAGGTATCAATCATAGAATCCGAGTTAATTTCTTTGCTTACTTTTTCTTACTAAAGGGATTTTCAAAGAGATGCGCTATTAAATTTAATGTTATTATTGCGCTATTAAATTTAATTTAAGGTTAAATTAGTAATGAATAAAACTTTGCAATATTTCTAAAGAATAAATTTTTAAAATATTTTTACTTCATAAACTGAAGTTTTTACAATGAATTTTTTCCATGTTAAATATGTAGAGAGAAAGAAATAGGAGGAGTATCTCTGGAATTTGAAATTCGGTTCGAATTATGAACGTTTAGTGACGTTACCGTTTGGTAGTAAGGCCTCTTGAAATTAGGCTGATGAGATGCAATGTGTTAAACAGTTGATACAGTACTAGTAATTCAGTTCTCACTTCGCGGCAAGGAAGAATGCATAAAAACTCAAAATATTTTCATTAAAAATTGAAGGATCTAGAAAAATATAAAACACCAAATACAGTTAAAACAGTTAAAATTAATTTCCATGCAAAAACAAGGCATTCGGACAGCAGGCAAGAAGACAGATTTTTCGGTGCATAAAACTAAAAGTTTCCTTTTATACCGACTCGGTAAAAAGACACTGAAGGTGCAGAAAGACTTAATTCACTATTCTGTTAAGTTTCAAATGTAAAAAAAAAAAAAAAAAAAAAAAAAATCTGAAATTTTTCAGATTTTAAATTACGTCCAAAGGGGCGTTTTTTTAACGTTTTGAGTGTTACCTTTATTTATTAAATATCATGTTCTTTGCACTTAAACCATAAAATTCAGTTCAAGAGCAATATCGCAAAATAATGTTAAATTAAGCATATCTTTAGAATTTCCGATATACACAGTCTCGCGAGTTGGAGATAAAAGTATTTTTTTTCTATATAACGTTCCCATTTCTCGCTTTTAAAGCATTGAGTTTGTAAATCAAAAATTCGTTAAAGTTTTACAAAATATAAAATCTATAATAAAACAAATTCCAAATTTGGGATTTCAGATGCCCATATTCGCAGTAGGATTTCGTCATTCAAAATTCGATGGCTCTATGTACCATTGTTTTATCACAATGCGAGAAATAGACAATCATTTATGCAGATTTTTCATTATTTAATTTCTTCAAATATAATGCAGGACTCTAACATTTTGTGGCAACAGTTTGAAAAGTGAACCGACGTTTATGAGTCCGACGCAAAATGCCAAAACGAAAGCAATAGTATTTCGGGACTGAAATCCCTTTGGACTAATAAATATGGCAGCTGTGGTGAACACAAAATTAGGCTTAGCCGCACTTAAACAACTTTTGAATTGTTGATAATTCTACAAATATTGCATAGAGATTAACTAAAGGCATAAAAACCTTAATTGGATGATAAGAACAATATAATTCAATCATTTTTAAAGTAAAAAATGCACAATTTACCAACATATAAGAATAAAAGAAAAATGAGCTCATTGAGCCCAATAACAGAGTGGGTATATACATATATTGACATATTTTTGGTGCGGCCGATTTCAACCAAAAAGGGAGGTGCACAACTACATGTTATAGCAGTCCTATAGACAAAATTTCAAAGTTCTGAGGCTACTCGTTTTTGAGTTATGCGAGATACATACTGTTAGAACCGAGCCGGAGCATATGTAGTACGTACGTACAGACGTCACGAAAAACATCTCTTTTGACTCCATTTGAAATCAGTTTTATAATTCGTTTGGGGGAAAATAATCCTTTATTCTGTCCTTACGTACAGATGTCATGCAAAAACATCGGTAAATTGCATTCGATAGCTGTCAAAATGGATATTTTCGGTGAAATATGGTATCCAGAATTTTTCGTGATTATAATACTTCTTTTGCTTCGTACAAGCAAGTAGAGAGTATACCTTTAAAATTTCTTCACAGCCATGCGGCGTTGGAGATAAAAATATTTTATTTGTACAATGTTGTCACTGCTCGCTTTCAAATCGTTGAGTTGTTAATCAAAAATTCATTAAAGTTTTATAAAATATGAAATATAAAATTCGGGCTTCCAGGTGCACATTTTCGAGTAAAGGATAACGTTATTTAAAATTTAATATCACTAGGTACTCTTTTTTATTTCCACAGTACAAGGAACATAGAAATATGCAGATTCCTCATTATTTGAATTTCCTTAAAGATATTACAGCGCGATAGTATGTTTGTGGCAACAATTTGAAAAGTGATCCGCCGTTTAAAGTGGACGATGCAAAATCCCGTTTCGAGACTAAAATAGCTCATTCCAGTTAACGCTCTTTTGGATTAAAAATTTTTGCACCAGGAAACGAAATTCACGTAGCAGTAAAAATAAAAAACAATAACATAAATTTCAAGTGTCAATAAATAAAAATAATAACATCTAATTTCAAGTGTCCTCCCCCCCCTCCAAGTATTTTTCTTACAACTATTATGCGGTCTCATTCTGAACAATTGTATTATTTTTAACAGAAAGCTGGCGTTACCATGGTAACGATGTTTGATTGTGGCTCACAACATGCTTCTTAGGAAAAATACCTGACATTCTTGTAATTTGTTACCTGTAGCAACTTGTCCAGAAATGGAGAAATTAGGGGATAACAGTTCTATGCTATTCTATACACACAGTTAGGTGCTTGTCTTGTACATGGAGGACGAAGAATTTAATGCCGCAGATATCAAACAGGAACAAGCAAAACGAGAAGAACCATTAGATGATTTACAAGCACAGGAGCAAGGGACAAATGTGCAGGAGATTAATATAGTACACGAAATTCTGGTAAAAGAAAATTACATAATTTAATATATCTCTAATGCTTTCAATTCTCGCATTTTTTAAGAATTTAAGTATAAAAATATTTATTTAAGAACATGCGCACAGTTATGTATTCTGTTTTTATGTTCCTAATAATCACCGTTTTATAGAAGCTATTATTATTATTATTTGCTTTGATAATTTTTAGATGCAAAATTTTCCCTTTGTTTGTAGGCCTTAGCAGAAGAAAGAGAAAATCTGATAAAAAATAATAAAATTCTACAAGAAAAATTGTCAGTATTCATTAAGGGATCTGCTGAAAAGGTCTGCAAATTCATAAAATCAATGGTTTTTAGATTTCTCTTTTATATTAAGGTTATTTTATAAAATATTTCTAAAATTTCCCACACTTTCAGGATTATTTTCAGAAAATAGATATACCTTTGGATGCGGACGAAGGAACATTCCATGAAGTTTTGGGTAGACAATTTTCATCCATTAATCAAATGAAATAACGTTGAATATAAAATTTTAATTTTCTTTTTAAATATGCAATAATTTTTTTGAAAGAAATAATATTTAATCCTTAAAATAAACATCTAAATATTTATTAATAGAATATACAAATCTTCAAACTTATAGTGAATTAACTAATAAGAAATTACACAGTGTCTCACAAAAGTGATGGGACACTTGTGCTTTACAAAAGGAAACTGTAGTAAAATAAATTAAGAAAACATGTAAAAATTTTTTGTGGGTGTGTTTCATACTTAAATTTAGTAACAATTATTACATAACATACATTTTCTCAAAATATTAAAATATTAATTTAATAAAAATATAATTGTTTAGAACGGAGCAAAGAATGGCTCACATAAGTGATGGGACACTTACTTTTCCATCAAATATTTATCCAAAAATTTTACTTTTTAAAAGGTTTTAATACTTTGTTGGATTTCCTTTTACTTTTAAAACATGATTTAATCTTCTTGGAATGGATTCGACTAATTTTTTTTTTTTTTTTTTTGATTTCTGGAGTGATTTTACCCCATTCTTCTTGAAGCACCGATTTTAATTGTTGTTTTGAAGAAATGGTGCTTTTGCGAATTCTTGATTCCAATTCTTGCCAAATATTCGCTATGGGATTTAAGTCTGGAGATTGTGGTGGTGTTTTTATTATTTCAGGATAGTTATGCAGCAGTTCTAACGTTCAAAGCAATGTGTTTGGGGTCATTGTCCTGGTATAATTTAAAATCGTTATGAAGGTTCAATTTTCGTGCTGAAGATTTCAAATTTTGATTTAAAATGTCAATATACTTGTACCGATCCATTATACTGTCAATAAAAACAAGATTACCAACTCCAGCGGACGGCATACACCCCCATACCATAACTCCTCCCCCACCATGTTTTACTGTTGGCACCAAGTTCTGTTTACGAAATTCTTCCCTGGGTTTTCTCCACACCAAGATTCTACCTCAGAACCAAATATATTAAATTTTCTCTCATCAGCAAATATAACTTCATTCCAGTAATCAGAATTCTTATTTATGTTGGATTTTGCGAAAGCCACTCTGAGTTTTCTATTCTTTTCACTTACGAAGAATTTTTTTCCCGCCTGCTCCACCGTGATATCCAGCAGATCGAATTACTCTTCTATTAGTCTCAGGATTAACAATTACTCCATATACTGCTTGTAAATCAGCAGCAACTTTAGGAGCACTCATTCTTGGATTTTTTTTTTTAATATTTCAAACGATAATTCGCTTCATTCCATTGGATAGCTTTGATGGTCGGCCAGGTCTTCTTTTATCCTGAATCATATGATTCTTTTTATATCGTTTAATGATCTTGAAAACTGTTGAATGACTCAAGTTAACTGTTTCAGCAGTTTTTCTTATAGATTTTCCACGTTCAATATGCAAATTAATAACTAATTTTCGAACTTCAGGCAAAGTTTCTTTTCGTTTAGCATTCATGGCTGCACAGAGCTAAAAAACACAAAAATTCCAAAACAAACTGGAGAGAAATACTGCAGACGATTTTATAAATTATTGCCAATTGCTTTTGAGTAAAAATAAAAAACCCCAAAAATATTTTTATTGTAGTACGTAGTAGTATCTAATGGTGTCCCATCACTTATGTGAGCCATGTTTTGCTCCGTTCTAAACAACTGTATTTTTATTAAATTAATATTTTAATATTTTGAGAAATGTTATGTAATAATTATTACTAAATTTAAGTATGAAACACACCCACAAAAAATGTTTACATGTTTTTTTAAATTTATTTTATTACAGTTTCCTTTTGTAATGCACAAGTGTCCTATCACTTTTGTGAGACACTGTACATATGATGACTTTTTTTAACAGGAGATATAGATACCAAATTGAATGAAATTATTACGTTTCATGAGCAGAGTAAAATTCAGCAAGAAGTTTTAAAAGAACAAATAAATGAAACACAAGAAATTTTGAAAGAATTAAATGAGAAATTCAGTCGGATAAAAGAAACAGTGGCTCTACAATCCATAAACAGCAAAACAGGAGAACGTTTTAGTGAAGAAGTAAGTAATGTGGACTCTTCCTCTAGACTAAAATTTCTTCCATAAGACTCTTACTTACTTTCTTTATTTCAAACAGGAAGTTAAAGCACTTTTAAGGAAGGAAGAGGAAGTACAGAAAAGTCTGCAAGAATTCCAAACTGAAACCATCAAAAAAAGACATAATTTAAATGTCGCAACAGAAAAGAAGAAAAATTTGGTACGATACTTAATTTGTGAAATTTTGTTGAAAAGAATTGAAAGTTTATGCATTCGTCGGTACTCTTCTGTTATCAGGACCCGATTGAGAAATATATGTATGTATGCTTGTGTGTATGGATGTATGTGTTCATGTATGCATGTATATATGTAGGTGCAAATGTATGTGTTTTTATACACATGCACATATATGCACATACACTAGTATGCGGAAGGCTTATATACATATATTTTTGAATACGGTCCTGACAACGGAACAGTGCCCATTCGTCTTTACAGTAGCATTTGTACTAGATACTTTTATTTTATTCAGAAATTTAAACATAAAGATAAAATTACTTTTTCATTATAACCTATATACAAGCAGTAGGAAATCAGAAATTTTAATACTATCTCATTGAATTAAAAACAAAATGGTAAAATATTACTCAAAAAGTAAATAAATAAATAATAAAATAAAAATTAAGAACCAGTAATAACATACAAACTTATAATTATTTGAATATTTTGGCCCAAATAAAACTTCTTGTAAATAGGGTAAAAATAATTGAACATATTTTAGAAAAATATGCCCCTGTTGTAAATCAAAGCATTTCAATGAAGCAAAAGATAATCAATTTAGTAATAAAATTATAGAAAATGCGAGATTGAGTAATCATTACAAACAGCAGACTCCCTCTTATGAAAACTAACTTATCCAAATACTGAAAACTTTCAATTATTTAATCTTTCTTAATTTAATAATTAAAATTTTTGATAAACAGTAAATATGCTGAACCTATATAGTTGATAACCACCTATTTTATAACAAGCCTTTCAAAACTAGGTTTAATATTAATCATCTAGTCTAGACTAAATTGAACAAGATCCAAAAAATGTTAGCTTTTGTAACTTCCTGATGAAAAGTTATTATTAAACGAAGCTATCTGGTTGTAACGAAGGTGTTTCGCCAAAAAATGTTCTTAAAGTTAGGAGAAAGGGGAAAAAAAAATGAAAGCAGTACCTTTAGTGCGGGTAGTAATCACTACCCAAAATCCACGATTTTCTGCCAACGTTTATGGCCAAGAAACTTGGTGGCCACGAGTCCAAAAACAGATCAACCTCATTTCGGACGTCCTATGCAGAATGGAAGACAGCACCAGCAAGATATAGCTGCAGGTGCGAAGAAAGATAGAAGTCGGGGCTATACGGTGGGTGTGGCAAACGATCCCATTCGATTCTGTACAGAGTCCAGCCGGTGAACGCAGACATATGTGGTCTTGCATTATCTTGAAGAAACATTACCTTTTTGCGTTGGAACTCACTTCGAAGTTTTTCCATGATAGCAGCATCAACACGGACTAGCATCTAGCTGTACACCTTACTGTCGACGGTTTTACCTTTTCCCAGATACTCTTTGTGGCTATTCCATCTGATAAAAAGCATGATCTTTTTGTTGGTCAAATTGTATTTTGCGACTCTGCTGACGGGCGCAGGCTAACCCCCCTTTCGGCCTGTGTTGTGAAGTAAATCCACTTCAACATCAAGTGACTATCCGGTTCAGAATTTTGTCCTTGCGTTGATATTCGAGCAGATTAATGCAGACTCGAACAACCTCTGTCCGTATCTGCTGGAGTCAGCTGTCATGCAGCACCCAGCGATTGAATTTGTACGTCAAGTTTATGCGATGCATAGCGCGGCTAATGGACATGGCACTAATGTTTAACTTCTTAGCTCTCGAGTGGTTACACACTGATCTTCTGCCACAAATTGTCGCAGGCGGGCCTCATTAATATCAGTAATGCAGCTAGAGCACTCTGCTTTTTGAATGTCATAGTCCTTGTTATTAAACTTTCGATACCAAACCTTCACACTGGCATATAATACAACGTTAACGCCTAAAGGCCTATGATTTGGTGACATTCTGTAGCTGACTTTTTTCTAATAGTGCTGGAAGTAAATGATGGTTCTACTATGATAACGTGATAGTTCCACTTCAGACACCTTGTACTTTATGATAACGATATCTTTTTACAAATTTCACAGCACAATGTTCTAAAGCGAGTCTCTTTTATTCAAATGCCAAAAATCGTTTGATAAAATATGATTAAATACGCCAACGCGAACTGTTTACGCAGACGTTATTTGCGATGGCGGGAAACTCGTTAAAACCAGATATAAAAGCTTCTTGCAAATAACTGTGTAAGTTTCACTTAATAGCTTTATAATATATTGGTTAAAGAATTATGCTGTAATTAAAGTTACTACTTTTTTTTTTTTTTTTTTTTTCTGAATTAGGCTGAAGGAACTCTTGATTTTGCAGAGTATGAAGTGATGTGCATTGAAATTGATAATAATACAGAAGCAATTCAGCAAATAAAAAAGGTATTTTGTGACTTTAAATTTTACCTACCCATATTTTATTTATTTATTTGAAAATTTTAATCAGGAATTTTAAATTTTGCATACAGTGCCACATAATTTACTCTTTATTTTTGAAATTCAACTCTTCATTTTCTTTATGTATATATTTATATCTCATGAAAATCAAAACTAGCAATTTAAATATAAACTTTGTTAAAACCCATACATTTGTTTCCTGGTGAAAACCATGCAATGCAACTTATAAATGATAATCTACATCTGACATATAACTCTAAAATTCTATGAATGCATTAGGCTGAACAGAATACACTACTTAATTCCATTGATGCAAATTATGCAGTAAACTTAAGTTGCCTCAATAACAAATTTTAATAACTTATTTATAGATGTAATGGTTAAGTTGAATAATAAATAAATGATTATGATTATGCCAAAGCATATGAAGGCTGTCTGCCTCAGAAGGGAAGGTCTTGTGGAAGACATTCCAATTAAGACTAGCTTGTACTCACGTTACATATGAAGAAAGTCTTGGAAATGTCGTGTAAGCCAATCCATTTGCCAATACAAACTACCAGTGTTCAGTGGTCTTATCCAATTGGCTACATTTATAATTGAAACATTATGGAATATTCATTGTTTTCAACATAATCTTATGAAGTAATTATTAAAATGATTTAGTCATACAAACATCTTCATGAATTTGCATGAAAATTTAAATGCAGGATTTGCATAATATAATCCCTTGAAACACTAAAATGAAATTGTGATGAACTCTCTCTAAGATCACTATTCAGGGTTACAGATGATTTCACTTTTCATTTAGAGGTGGTCATCTTACAGATAGAATATTGAATACTGATGCTTTCAGAAATCCTGGTCAGTTCCAGAGATGACTGTACAGTCAAAAGTCGTTAATTCGGACACCCATAATCCGGACCTCAAAGCTAAAATCTTTCTGCGCATGCGCCGCATTGAAGGCATGCGCATAGGCGTTTTACTCGTGCGCGCAAGACATTTTCCACTGCGCATATGCGTCTGCGCAAGTGCAGAACACGTTTTCGCGTGCGCGTTTAATATATAACGGACGGTATAAGCTAAAATTATCTAATTATCTATTTCAATTAATGTTGATGATTGCGTTGTTCTTTAATCTTCGAATTGGATCCGGCTTATTATTTTTTGCAGACTGTAAGAGCAATTTTCTAAAAGTAAGCTTGAACTTTCGATTATGTCAAATAGAATTTCCGATGCTGGAGCTCCCAAAGGATCTAGAAAACGAAAGTATGTTTCGATGTCCATCAAACAAAAAACGAATTGCTACAAAAATGGATAAAGGCATATTCTTTGTTTATCTAACCGTTCCGAAATCTGTTTTTATCAATTTCACGCTGCTCTGCGCGGGGGGGGGGGACGTCGCGGCGCGCATGATGAACTGGAAGTTGGATTTGTCAACACTATCGTTATCTTCAGGGCAGATGTTTTTATTTTATTCGGCTTTAAATTCCTTACTAAATGTAGTATTTAATTTCGGTTTTTTCGGTGTACTCCGTCTTTGATATGATTTAAATCAAATTCGTCGTCATTATAAATATCACGAATACAAATCAAATAGTTTTCTGGTTGCAATTTTCTAATTTCGGCTATGCGTAAGGTATGCTTTACGCATCCGCGCGTTGAAAGAAATGTTTAATAAAGTAAACAAATAAATATTAGGCTTCTTTTTTGGTAAATTTTGATACCCTTTAGATCATAATTGCTCATTATTTTATAAATTACGGTTTCATATTTTTAATTTTATAATTTCTGCATGCCATCTTACCAGATTTAAACTGATGATCTATAATCCGGAATCGCCGAAGTCCCGACGAGTCCGGATTAAAGACTTTTGACTGTATTAAGAAAATAACTGCCACAAGACAGCTTATCATATTGCATCAATAATAAACGGAATTTGATATGACTCATTTAAGAGAAAAAGCATTAAATGTATGAAAATCCAAACTATAATTTGACCTACAAATGTCGCAGACTAAATGGAAACTTTTATTAATTACCAACAAATGATGTAGACACAGATCTTTATTAACCATCATATTGCCCAGGTGGGAAGATCTGCAATTATAAAAGTATGTGCAAAAGTCTGAAATAATTCAAACAAGATGAAACCGGGCTTTCCATGTAAAATTTATCTGAATACCTATAATGATAAGTTTAAAATTCTGATATAAATTACTCCTACCATTCTCTAACATACAGACATACTTAACCTGTAAATCAAATTTTTAAATAATATTTTAATGACACAGTTCAAGAAATTAAAATTCAGTTAAATGTAAATTTATTATGCAATTATACATAATGACTGGGTACTTTCAAATTAATTACATTCTCAGAAATTCGGCAATTCACTGGTGACTTTGTGAACTGGCAAAAATGTTTAGCTGTCTTTATGGCTGATAGGCATTATTCTGTTCATAAATGCTTTTTTTTTAAAACCATATCAGCTGATAAAGGCCACAATAATTCTTTATTGGGGAACACTAGAAGGAAACACTTAATTAAGTTAATCCACTACTCAAAATCATGTGCAGTACATGCATGTGTGGATTGGTTGTTGTCACATATACAATAAAACTATACCAAAATTAACATACCAATTATTGTTTTATTTCTCTATTAATTCTTGTCACATAATTTCAACTGTTCCACAGTAGCAGTATCCATACAATAGAACTGAACAGAGCAATAGCAATTTTATGCATGGTATTTTGAAAATTTACTTTTAGCCACACCACATGAGAAAAGCACAAAAGACTAAAAATATGTATATCTCTTTCTGAGTTTTTTTTTTTTTTTTTATTTGAAGTGATTTTCTTCTACTCTAAATTTCAATGAAGACTAGAGTTCAAAAACGTTCAACTTGCTAAGATTTTTTCATATTTATTATTATTTTAACACAGAAATCCAATTTCCCAATAATAGACAAATCATAAAACAACATTACACCAAGAAATATAAAAAATATTACAGAAGAAAAATATGCTAATACAATTCAAAAGCCTATTATATTTCATTACAGATGTTTAATTTTAAATTTAGTTTCCTGTTTAGCAGAAAAGCAAAAATGTACAAAGAAAAATTACCTTCAGAATAACTTACTTAAAAGTTGTCAGGAGACCAAAATGATACTAGTCTGAAAAATCTACTCTTTATGATTTCATTTTTTAAAATGGAAATATAAATTTGCAGCTAGCCATTCAAACAATGTTTAATCTTGCATTCATTTTTAAATCCTGCTTATTTAACATTTTGATTTTCTATCAGAAATACAATTTAACTTGAGTTAATCTATCAAAATGTGTAGCCATTAGATTTCGATTTAATAGCAAACTCTTTCTTCAGGGACTTCTTTTCCCAGAATACAAAGGTCAATAATCAACTTCACTTATCATAACATAATCAAATCAAATCCTGATTGTTCAACACTAAATCATCCTCTCCAGTACCACTTCTGTTATCATCACTCACTCAAGTAAGCCCTCTCCCATGAACACGATATTCATGCATAATTATTACACCTTTAAAATATGCATATCTATTCTAATTTTTTCAATACATTATCCAAACATTTAGTAAGCTTCTTTTTAATTAAATACAAGGCATATGAGTCCTATCTGCCTAAGAAATATTCTTATAGAGGAATTTCCACGAAGAACTGGTTTGTATTTGCATAATATTTAGCATTTTGCAGGGATCTGTTTTTACATCCTCTCTGAATTTGTATTTCTATAACTTCCTATTACAGTAATACATTGCATTTTTATTACAACATATAAGAAAATGTATATTACTATTACCATTAATAATGCTCACTCTTAAGAATGTAACTCATCCGTAAGCTTAAAAACTTTTCTGTACACTGAAAATTATTTACCAGTAGCTTATAGTGAAGTCTTATTCTTTAGACAAGTTACCGAATTCTGTACTTGCTAACAAAATCCAGAATTTAGGAAGCCTTTAAATGAAATATAAAAGCTAGCACAAGGCACAAGGCATCCATCACTATTTGATAAATAAGTCTTTCTTTTTATAATCAGAATTCTTATATCTAATGTAAAATTAATCATTTTGGATTAGTCTTTTATATACACTGATTAATCAAAACTTTATAACAATCCTCCTAATACCTTGTTGCTTTGCCTTTGACACACAGAAAAGGTGAAGCCTGTCAGGATAGTATTTGAGAAGTGTCCAGACTATGATTGTATCAGATTTGCAAGCAGAGGTTTACCTGGTACTCTGTAATATCACAGGTGTGCTCAATAGGATTAATATCTGGTCAGTTAAAAGCTAGAGCATCAACTAAAATTTAGCAGCATATTCCTCAAATTGCTGTAGAATAGTTCAGACCTTGTGATAAGAAATACTGTCCTGAGAGAATTTATTTCCTATGGGAAAGACAGAAAATATTAAACGGTAAAAATGGTCAGCAGCGATGTTCGCATAATCATCATCTGTCATAAAGTTTTCATAATAACCAGTGGCCTGAGAGATATCCATGGAAATATCTCCAAAACATATTTCCACCTGCTGGACCTGTATGTCCAGCAGTACATATATTGATCCGTGTTTGCTTAGAAAACAGTGTACTTTGATATGGGCATTGATGGATGTAAAAGATTCAACCAGGTAGCTTTTTTCATTGTTGCATGTTCAAGGGTCTCTGCAGTTGTAAAGTTGATTTGCTGGTTTAACAGACTCCCTAAGGAGCATCTGCTGTTAAGTCCAATAAGCTATGTGCTCAAGTACACTTGTAATTGGATATGCATGTTATTCAGCTCTCAATTGAGTCACTGGCAGCCACAGGCCTTCACAAAAGAGATAATCTTTGATATCCACATTTTTTAAATCAGGTGCAGATATCTATTACCTCAGCATCTACCGCCAGTTTCACAATCTTCCACGTTTTTCAGGTATTAACAACAGCAGCTCATAAATATTTAATCAGCAACACTGTTTGAGAAATATGCATTCCTGGCCTTTGGGTCACCACAATTCGGTTTCCATAAAGTTGCATCAGATTTTTTTAAAACCATCTAGAATGACAATGTGGTTAATGAAATGCCTAATTACACAAACCACAAATTTGAATTCTGTGGAATGGGTGCATTTAAAATCTGTCATTATGAAAATCCTCTTGAGAGTGTTGTGGTCACAAAATACAGGTAACTCAGATTTTTATCCCCTAGAGTACTCTGTCAAAAAATGATAATACTTAAGCAGATTGTGGTAGCACTATGTCTAAATTAAATAAAATTAATCTTTATTTTACTTTTAATTTAAGTAATTTTTAATTTAATTTAATTTAACTTTTAATTTAATTTTAAGAAATTTTTATTACTTATGAAAATTATTAACAATAAATAACAAATGTTAAGTATATTTCAAAAATTACATTGATAAACTGCAAAAAATATTTAAAAATAGAAAACTTGATTAAGTTATCTATGTTTTATGAACTACACTCATGTCCATAAATTAAGGATAATTCAGAGTCATGCGGAAATTGAACTCTAAAATAAATATATCACCTGTAAAATCACTACACACATCTTCAACGTCACAATGACGAGAGTGTAAGAGAGTGATATATAAGGAATACAAGCAAAGAAGAAAAATTGTTCGCAGGCACTTTATAAGCATTTCCATGCAATAACTGAATAGTTATGACAGAAAGGACGCATTTGGATGATTTTTTACGTGGTAGAATTATCGACCGTCTGAAATGTGGACTGGAAGTATCAGACGAACTTAAAATTGCCCAGACTGTCATCTCCAAGCTTTGGCAATGATTCCAAGATGATGGTAATGTGAGTAGATGTTACAGCACAGGTCATCCCAGAGTTACAACATCGAATGAGGACCGGTATTTGGCAGTTACTGCCAAAAGAAACAGGCGGAGCACAGCCTCAGACCTGTCTCGTCAGCTCTCTTCAGCCACTGGTATGACAATTTCAAGGCACAGACGTGTACAGACGCTTAGGGCAGATTGGTCTATATGCTCGTAGACCTGTCAGATGCATTCCACTTACTACAACTCACTGTCGCCTGCGGTTAGCCTGGAATAGAGAGCATGCATTGTGGACACCGCAACAGTGGGCTCGTGTGATGTTTTCCGACGAGTCCAGGTTTAGTTTGCAGTCTGATTCTCGCCGGACTTTCATATGGAGAGCTCCAGGGACTCGTTACCACCAAGAAAACATCATTGAATGACACCGTTACGGTGGTGCAGGAGTGATCGTTTGGGGTGGAATTATTCTGGGTTCCAGAACTGACCTGCATGTTCAAATTGGAACCATGACAAGCCAAATCTATCGAGACGTTATTCTGAAACAACATGTACGTTTGTTTCGAGGCGCCATGGGTGCACAATTTGTGTTTATGGATGACAACGCCCATCCTCACCCTGTAAACATCGTAAGCGAATGCCTTCAATCGGAGGATATCACCCGTATGGACTGGCCAGCATTCTCACCAAACTTGAATCCAGTAGAGCACATGTGGGACATCCTTGGCCGACGAGTTGCAGCCCATCAACCTCCTCTTACATGTCTACCAGAACTTCGGAGAGCATTACTTTTTGAGTGGTGTAATATCCCCCAAGATCAGATCGATAATTTGATACTCAGCATGCCTAGGACTGTATTGCATCATCTGGGAGACATTACAATGTATTAACAATCATACCAACCATGTAATATTGGTTTTTTGTAAATAGGTTTTTTTTTGTAATTTGCTCCAGGGAGAGAAAAATCGCTAATTTTTTTAATAATATCAAACATATAGCATCTTTTTTTGCTCTTTACTTTTGTTTAATAAATAAGCTTTACAAATAAGTCAAATGTATTTTGCTTCTAACTCTTCCTTTGCTGATTTTGCATTATCCTTAATTTATGGACATGAGTGTATAAATAAATAAATCAAAATAATTCCTGCTCGCATAAATTTTAATACATGATAAAATGCTTAAAAAAATACTGCTATTTAGTTAAACTTAAAATATCATAAAAAATTAGTTTGCTTTTTATATTTGATTCATGTTATAAATCTAAGCATAAATTTCTTTGTATTTGAAAGACAACATTCAGTGCGTAATGAAATGTGATAAACATTGCCCCTTGAATGTCCATGTTAAGCAGAAAACTAGAAACTAAGGTAAAATAAGTTACCTTATTAAATACTATATGTAAAATTAAGTATTATAGAGACTAAATGTACTCTTAAATGTTTGCATTGGAAATTAATAAACTACTGCATTTTCACAAATATATTTCAATGTATAACTATTATTGACCAAAATTATATTTGAACTAAACAATTAAAAAAAAAAAAAAACATGTAAATAAATACAGAGCTTACTAAAGTAATATATTTCATTAAGCACATGAAATCTCTTTCAGAAAATAAGAGATATTACCAGAAAAGGGTCAAACATAGTAAAAATATTGAGTCACCTGCCACAGAAGTTGTATTTGGCCCAGAATACCAGATTGCTTGTGGAAGAAAAAGTAAAATCACTGGAGGATGACTTAAAAAAAGAAAGTATTCCTTTTAATTAAAACTAAAAATCTTCACGCCAGTATGTCAATAAATTTTCTTCTTTTAATAATTGTTTTGTTACAGGCACGAAATCAGCTATTTACTGAAAAAATGGAATATGCTAAAATGAAAGAGAAGAGTAAGGAACTTCAGTACAAATCTGCACTTTTGCAACATCCAAAACTTTTAGAGGACTACAAGAATGTTAAAGAAGAAAATGAAGAAATACAGAAACATTTAACAGAACTAAAATTAGCTTATGCAAATACATTAAAGATCATAGAACACTAATTATAAAAATATTTATTTTTAGTAGTCCTAAACAACATTTTTCTTCCTTATCCAATACCTGGATGTGATTAGAATTTTATAATTAAGAAAAAAAAACTGTCTGCTCAAAAGCTATTTCATACTGGATAAGAGAAAATTATAATGATGTACTGAAACAACAATGAATATTTAATTTTTAAAATTATGTGTTTATAAATTACAATGGTTCTTTTACTTCACTGTATATTTTAGCTAAAAGAAGCATATACATTTGTGAAATTTCTTTTGAAAACAATTACTTCTCTCTTCAACAAGCCTTCAATAACTCATTTAAATATCTTCTTCTTTAGAACTTACTATACAATATCTTCACAGCACAGCCATACTTTCTACTCTACAGCACTGCTTGACAGTTCTATGATGTTATTGAATTCCTAGGACTGATTCTTAATATTTAAATTATTAAAGCCTTTATTAACATAGTTCCTTTTAGTTTTGTTCTTTCCATTAGCTCATATTCATGTAAAGATATTTATGTCATAACTGTTTTTCATATATAATAACTAGCTGCTTAAAATAGTAATTACCAAAAAGAGAAAAATATATAATGATTTTAATGAGTAAGTGTAGTTTCATGAGTTTCATGAGTGAATTTATAACATTTGTCCCCCCAAAAAGTAGTATGACAACGTAAAAGTCTAAATGCATACATTTATTTAAATACTAGAAATAGTACTAAATGTTTTCATACCTTATGCTTTAAGAGCTTTGCACTATGATTTGGAAAAATGTTCATTTGTTTCAGTCTTAACTGATGCATCCAATCACAAGGAAATAAAACTGTTTCCAATACTTGTTAGATTTATTGATTGGAGTTAGGGAAGAAAATAATTTAAGACAAAGTTTTGGCTTTTGTGCCGATAATACAAATTCTAACTCTGGAGGAGCTCATAGTGGATTCAGATGCACAGCACATATTATCCATAACACTATTAGAACATCAGCTGATGTTTTGATAGTTGATACAGAAATGATTATTTCTAAAATATACTTTAAATTTTTCAATGTTTCTATTCTAATAAACATTGAAAAATTTCTGCATTTTCATAGAAACCAATTTTTTAATGTTACTAGGGTATTCACATGGTTAGCATTACTTCCTGCCGTTGAAAGGCTACTCCAAATGTTTTTACCACTGATGTCTTATTTTCAATCTTAAGAAGAATGTCACATGCTTATTTAAAATTCCTTGAAAATCCAGTGACAGAAGCTTGGCTCTATTTTATTATCACTCAGGCTTCAATATTTCATACAATTATTACAACAATGGAAAATCAAACTGTGTTTGTATTTGATATAACTGCTTCAATATTGAACATGATAGAGGATACCTTTATTCCAATAAATGGTGGTAGTGGGGGGAACTCTTAAGAAATATTTCAAGAGAACCCAGATGTATCGCAATACAAAATTATTGAATTTCAAGAAGTTATTTTCTCATTTATCTGATTCTGCTTAATTATTTGGAGGAAAAAGTATTTCAGAAGATGGAAATGTACAGCTGGATTACATTAACTGAAATCCCTCCTTGAAGTCAAGATGAAATAGCCTTTTTATTAATTAATAAAATGATACCAAGTCATAAATTATTGGAAATTGATATATGCTCAGAGAAATATGCTTGCCTTAATAAACACATCACAGAAGAAAAATTATTGGAATAGTCAAAAAAGATGTGCGCAGTTCAGATGTGGATGGAAATAACTGCATATTTTAATAAAAATAAGATTCCTTGTTCAAGTATTTTTAAATTGCCACAAAAGTTTTTTTTTTTTGGGGGGGGGTCTTCCAGGCACTAATGCTGCAACTGAGCAAATATTTTTAGCATTATGAACAGTTTTTGGAGTAGCGATGAGACACAGCTTAAAGTGAACACTTTGAAGGATATGTTAATCACCAAAATAAATTTTGATGAAAATTGCTTAGACTTTTATAAGATCAAAACAGGAAAAAGATGTTCTAGGAAATATTCATGCTTCAGAGAAATATTATAAGGCTACTTCAACAAAATAATTTAAAAGGGTTACAAATTTATTATTTTGCTTAAAAATGAATATTGCATTTTGATTTACTCTTTACTTAATAAAAATATTATATATCATTATTAAAAAGTAAAATAAAAATTATTTATTTTGATTTATACATACATATTGCACTACATACCACCTCCATCACAATAATGATAATAAAATATTTTTTTTTTTAATTTCAAATAATATTTAAAGAGGTTGAGCCACTTAATTTTCTTCCCCCATTTCCGTTAGCATTTTTGACTTCATGAAAAACTGACTATAATTACAATCTCAAATGACATGGAGAAAATAAATGCTTTACTGCTGACATGACTTATGGAAATAGATTTATGATTGGACGAAGGCTGGCAATAGTACTGACATGCCTATTTTAAAGTAATACACTATAATGGAGGAGAGACCCATCTGAATGAATGCACAGCGTGAACAGGAGCAAGCCACTAGAAAGGATGCACAATGGCATTCATCTATTAAATACATTTATAGGTTTACAAATATCTAATTCGAGTCACATAAAAATACTTTAAAAAAAACAAACTGTAATTTAATTCATGATAAAATTATTTCCGTAATATGCAAATCATAGCTTATGTGTATCTATCATTTTAATTAAATTCTCCATAAATCTCTACTTAATGTGTAGTTCAAGGTTTAATAGTGCTCTGTTGATGATTCAAATTTATCTGAGATCAGTGATTTTATTTAAATTATTGTTTTCAGACATAAGGATCTTTTTCTACTTCAAGGAAATAGCAGCTTTTAGTATTAGCTAAATGAAATCTAAAAACGATACAGCAATCACTTTTACTCACCACAAATATTACACTTGCATTTATCTCGCTGCGTCAGTAGTAAGAATTTTCAAATTTTCACAGATTCTTTCTAAGATAAAGCATTTTTGATTCTCGACTATCAACTCACCATAAATGTAAGAAAAAAATTTACAGGATTAACATATTTTCCATGCATTGCCTTATTCTTTAAAATAAATAATTTAATTGAATGTGGCAAAGTACATGAAGCCTATCCTGCCTAAAGGAAGAGCTTTTAGGATACTTTGTCTATCAAGTTATCCTTTACATCCATATGTAACTCATCTCTTATCTTTTAAAATATATGCTTCTCAAAGTATGTTCATAGGACAGTTTTTACTTACCTTTAGGCATGGAATGCATTTGGTGAATTTGATCTGGGATACTCTGTATATATTTATAGACTTAGACAACATATTCTGTAATAAATGATATTTGGAATAAAGTACAATACAATACATTAATATTTATATTGGTGAAGATCAGAAGTGAATACCAGTGAATGGGCAAGCAAAGTAACATTCTCCTCAAATGTAACCAAAATACAAGCTACTTTCCCTCAGAAAGGTCCTCTATAACGAAAGCCCTCCCTAAGACAAATAGCCCTTATGCTAGTTAGCCGACTAACTTTATGAATTACAAAAATCTACAAGGTATATTTGTGAAATTTTCAAATGCATGTTTTAAAATTTTACTTCTGTAAGTCTACTGTCAAACTTGAGTGAATATTTAGAAATTCTACTATGGAAATAACAATAATCAAAAACAGACTGCAGCATTTTTAAGATGATCTGCATATTAGTATAATAATTAAACTTGAGTGAATATTTAGAAATTCTACAATGGAAATAAAAATAATCAAAAACAGACTGCAGTATTTTTAAGGTGATCTGCATATTTGGGCAATTATACGATCAGATTATAATTTGAAAATTTCACTGGATTACACTACATACAGACTTAACAGGTGACTGTTGACATAAAATTCATAATGATTCAGAATACAAGTCACAGTTTCATGAAATTACATGTGGGATTTTTATTGTTAAAGGAATAGCTGAAAATAATATATTTAATTTACACTACTCATCAGAAAGGATATTAAGAGAAATAAATTTTTTTATTGAAAAATGATTGAAAACAATTTGTACAAAAGTATTATAAAACACAAATTACTAGGTTTTCCATCTGATAAATCCCAAAATATTTAATTTATAAAGTAAATTTTATAGAATTTAACCCCTGATTTGAAGTAAATCTTTCTAGTATGGTGTATGGCCATCTCTGATAGAAATGCAAACTTTATATCTTGATTTCATAGAAATGATTATACTTTTGATCAAGTCTTATGGAATTGTAGAGGAAGTTTTTGTTCTTGGCTGCTTCAGACAAGGCCGTCTTTTACTACTTAGAAAGCATTTTCTAGTTTTTGATATGATACTTAGAGGAACAATCATATCATTATCTACTGGTGTATTCTCCCATTTTTTTTATCAATTTTATCAAACAAAAATTGTGAGGGAAAAGTCATGCGAATAATTTAATTTCTCAACGATATAGTTACAGTAAGAATATAACAGATGAAAAATATTTTTGGATAAGCTATCCATAACTATCACAATATTACTTACTTAAGAAAGCTTCATTCCAGTAAGAATACAGAGTATATGATAATGACACTATCTTATAAGATATTTTTATTTCCCTGTATCTTGAATTTTGATGGTTCTTAATAATTGCCCACCACTAATTTAATGCTGCCGGAAGTGTTGTGTGCAGTTTGATACAGCTTACAAGTTATTACCACCATCACTGTTCAGTCTGTCGTGACATGAGCAATGATCTTCAGAATCATCAAGATCAGATATTTTCATTTGCTTGAAGCTCTATTATTGCTTCATTAATTATAGGTCATGCACCCAAATTTCATAATGAAATCAATCAGTAAGATGAAAACAATCACTATGTGGATGAGTTTCTTTAAAATTTAGGAGAACTCCCTTTCTAAGCATATTCAGGAAGAAGAAAATTTCACCGAATACTCAAAAATTCTTCACAACCTTGCACTAAAAAAGTAAAATACTTTTGATTCATGACTCACACCAATTGTGTAACACATTGTCAATACCTTAATTTGCATATTTCATGTATTAATTTATAATCATACGTCTAGCTTTGTGTACAGTTACAAATAATTAACTTATTTAACAATACCATTGGACACTGGTAATCACTCAGTATATTTTCCAAATTATTCTTTAATTTTAATGAGCAGTGTAGCAAGCTCTATACAGGATCTCAGAAATTAATAAGTTATTTACTAAATTAATGAAATAAAGTATTTTAAAACACATTTAACTTTATACAGAACATGCAGCATGTCATTTTTACATAAATAAGAATAAAATATCCTGCATATAAAAAAATGCCAATCTTATTTCCATACCTTTGCATTATTGAAAGTAAAATATAAAAGATAAACACATATATTTTTAAAGCTTTATTTTCAATAAAATGTACGTTACCAATTTATGAAACTTCGAATGTTACATCAGTAATGAAAGGAAAAGGCAGCAAGAAAACATATTGAAAAGTTTATTAACAGTGAACAAACTGTGAGTAACAGTTCACCCTTATCAATAAAGTGAGCACGTTCAAAATCACCTAGAAGAACTGCTGCTTGAACGGTTCTGTCGTCTTCTATTAGGAGATCTAGAATGTGATCTTGATCTCCTCCTGTATCGTGGAGGGGATCTAAAACATAATTTTCAGAAAATTAGTTAATATTCAGTTTTGTACACATACAAATTACTTTATTTTATAGCAAATACACTATCTCTAATAAAATTCTATCTAGCTCCTAGATTTGATGGAAATATACAAACAGGAAAGCAAAAAATTAATCATTACATATACCACCACCTATTTGCATGCTATAATAAATTAAACAAAATCTCACAAAATAATAATAATAAAAAAAAGATGTATTGTGAACAAATTATTTTCATCTTATGAACAAAGGATGAAAATAATAATAAAATATCAACATCCTTTTTTCCGAGGTATATCTAAAAGCATAGCTAACTTAGAGAATGCAACATGCTTAAAAATATTACAAAATTACTATTATAGGAGACGGGGCATGCCCTCATTACTAGCCAAAATGCAAGACAGAAAAGTAGCAGGATTTTACAGTCAATTTGTGATATAACGCAAAAGTGTGAAAATTTTGAAAAGTGCCGATCTCTTTCTTCTATTGTTATAAAAAACATTTCTTGTCAAGATGAAGTCAATACATCAAAATTTTCTAAAAAACCTTCTTCAAGTTTTGGTCTTACAAATACTTTTCTAGAAACATGCATCATTCAAAGATGTGATGCAAGTGATAGGATTATTTTAGCTGGTTTTAAATGAACATAATTGAAATGAATGTTTTCTGTTGTTTATTTTCCCAAGTTGAATCGGAGTCTAAAATTTGCCCCTGAATTCATCATGGCCAAGAGAAAGAGATCATATGTCACTGGCTAATACCCTTGCAGTCATACTGTTAAGTGACAACAATCTGTACTGCCTGAGTTGAACACTCAGTTTTGATCGAGAATATCCCAGATGATGGAATCCAAGAGTATCACGTCCTCTTTCCCTACTGAACATCTCAGGAAAGTTTCAGCTGAACAGATTTTTTTAAGTGCCCCAATTCCACAAATAAACTATACATTTGCCTTCCCCAGGATTTGTATTAGGGTCCTGTCTTCTTGAAAGTCCTCTCCATTAAGATTTCATGATTACCTTTTTGAGTGGGAGAGGATGTGTTTCAAAACTATACATTAAAATATGGAAGTGAAAACCATTCTCTGAATGTTCAACAGAAAGGGGCTTTGTTCAGGGGGATTGAGAAAATACCTAAAGATTTAGCGGAGAAATATAGCATAGCATGCTGTCTATCATTTCAAGGAAAGAAAGAACATGTTGATAAGGCATTAGCCAAGTACTGATGTCATATGCATGATATTGCAGAAATCTGCTTTTCTAAACTGTAGATTTGGCATAAACAAGTAACAAAAATTTTACTGAATATTTGTGGAGATTATTATTAATATTAAACAATACAGCTTCATGCAACAATTTTGTTTTCCACAAACCTTTAAATATATATCGCTCTATAAGATATCAATATATAATTTTTGAAAAATATGAATACACATATGTACATAAATTATAAGATACAAAGATGTATTAAAATGAAATTTCAGTACTAAAATCCAGCATAAAGGCAGCTCAAATTGCTAATCAAAGCAATAAAATAAAAACTTTCCAGGGTAAAAAATTTCTTATAAATGTAAAATTATTTTGAGAAAAATACAGATGACACCTTCCGAAAGTTTATGGCTAAAGTAACTCAACTGGAAACCTGACATTTCCTTTATACAAAGCCATCCTACAGGTTGTGAAACGTTTAAGGGATATAGGTTGCGTGACTAGCCGACTTCAGTCCAGCAGATTAGCTAAGGTAGCGTGGAAAGTGCAACGGGAAGATGTCTTATCATATGCCCTCACATATCAAAACAACAGTACAAGAGAGATGAGTGAAAACTGTAGCCTTTCAAAAAATCATTTTGGAAAATCCTAAATGAATTCAGTGCTCATCCATACCAACCAACACCTAATCAGGCATTACTGGACAGGAACGCTGAGAGACGTTTCACAAGGTGCAACTTCATTATGAACCAGATAGAGGTCCAGCCAACATTCTTGGCAGGTATAGTGTAGCCGGATGAGGGGCATGTGTTTCACAGAATGAAATGTACAATAGGCAAAACACCCGTTACTGGGCATGGCCATCACAATATTTATAACTTCTGCAAGACATAATACCGGTTTTTTCTGAAAACCTGCCATTGCTTCAACTCCGGAATGGATGGTTCTAACATGACAGCGCAAGTGAAGCAGTACCTGATGGAGGAATTTGGAGAATGAATAATTGTATACAGTGGTTCCGAAGAGTAGCCTCCACATTCACCTGACCTGACTCATATGGACTTTTTCCTGTGCGGATACCTCAAATAGCAGATGTATGCAACGACTCCACAAACATTACAGGACCTTCAACAACGTATTACAGATGCTTGGGCAAACGTGTCACTCGTTATGCTACAATGTGCAACACAAACTCCTAACAAGGGTCCAAATGTGTATTTCAGCTGCTGGAGAGAAGTTTAAAACATCAAAAATAAAGTAGCTTGTGACAACTAGTTGCTTTTTTCTTTCTAAGATTGTTTCGTCATGTCAGAGTTTTGGAAATCGCGAACTAACAAATGCAGGTTTAAAATGCTCTATTCTTAACATTGATGTTCATGAGGTGTCTTTTCATACTAAATTGATGATGCTCTATTTTGTAATGGACTTTTTCTTCTTATCTCGTATCGTTCTCGAGATGCTAACTCCGTTGTTGGTGGCGCTGAAAGCTATCTCATCTAATAGCGCATAGCCACTTTACTATACCTAGACACCACTTTTATGGCAACAGCTGCAGCCGTTCGGCATTTAAGCTGGTGGAATTGAGTGGGCACCCTGTATACTTCTGGATTAAAAATCAACATTTTCAAGTCTCATTCAAAAGAAAAAATTAAAACATGAATACTACAGAACATCTTGAAACATCTGAATACACAAGCTATCAGTTAAATCTTACCTTCTCCTAGCCCTCATTTCCCTCATACGTCCAGGAGGTGATCGTCTCCATGGAGGTGGAGCTCTCCGCACTGCCATTGGAGAAGGACGTGGAGGGCGAAACCTTTGTGGTGCAGGATGATATTGAACAAGTGAAACATTTATTTCTTGGCCATCAATTTGCCCTTCATAATGAAAAGAAGAAATAAGAATTAAAAATGTTTATTATCATACAAGCATTTAATATATTTCATTAGAAAAAGACTTAAAATTGAAAATCAATTTAACAGAACATACAAATATGTTTTCTTTTAAAAGAAGGGGGGATGCTTGCTATTTTTAACATATATATGCAATGGCAAAATAAGAACTATGCTCAATACATAAAAGTACAAAAACAGCCTTTATTTCAATACAAAGTGAAATAATACGGAAAACACAGTAAACAGTTCTTCAAAGCTTTTGCATTTTATTTGCTGTTTTTTTCTTATTGTAGACAAATGATAGAATACTTTTATATTTTCCACACTTTTTAAGCAATTAATATTTTTCTCTATCCTCAGAATTCAACACGCTTTATTTCACGAAGGCATCTACATTTATCATAATCTAATGTAACAGTATTGTTCTCATCGTTTAAACCTTTTCTCAGGGGAAATATTTTATAGGAACTTACATGCATAGCACATATAAATGATAACAGTACTTGCAAAAATTATTACTGACAGCAAGAGAAGGAAATTTAATAACATATCTTCTGGAATGCATGTATGTAAAAGAGTATTAATAAATACAGATTCCAGGCTTTCAGGATCTCCAATTTATTTAATTAGTGTCATTATAATTTTGAAGTGCAGTGGCACATCTAAATAATCAGGATTAAAAATTTATCCAGACTTACAAAAAGGATAATTAATTCAGTCACAATGAAATAGGGCAAGAAAGCAATCACGTTCTAACAAAAGTCTAAAATCAGCTGCTGCATGGTGATACAGAACAATACATTTCTTTGTAATAAGGAAATCTCAGCAGAGGCATACCTTCTCTGCACTATCATTCTTCCATGCATTGGAAATTTGGAAGAATTCAGAGATACAGGGAAGTTGAAGACCAGTGGTAGCTCTTTTTGCTATGAAATCAATAATTTTATTTCCACACATACCATAATGGGCACTGATCCAATGTAACAATTCTTTACAATTTTACTGCTTTATGAGTGTTCCACAATGCATACTTTGAAGCTGAAAAATAGATTTGTAATTAAAAATGACCTGGAGAGCAAGAAGATTACAGTTTTAATGAATCTGTATTCACAAATGTACTACAGATTTTGATATAGCTGGCAAATGAATGATATGTATTTTGACAAATATATAAAAAGAAAACAAATCTCTAAAAGTATCTGTACCTGCTTCCTATGGAATCACGTATCATCCAGTTAACAGTTTCAAATAGCTGTCATTTTTAAAGCACAAATTCATTCAGAATTTATTCCTTTTTATTGATATACAAGAACACCAAAAACATTGTAAACTTTGATGATCTTAAAAAAGTTTCCAGAATGAAACCTGTTTGAATTTTAAGATTTCTGTTCTTCATCACTTGTAATCCTAATCATGGAAATGATTAAGAAGTTTTAAAGTTTCTAGACTAAAACTCTTCTTCTATGCATTATCTTGGCAAAGGGAATCATTATTTAAGCAATACATAGCAAGAATTAATGCAGTTTTAACGGCTTTTATTACCACATGGAGTATTTGGTTATGAACAATTTACAGTTTTCCTGTTGTTGCATGTGACAAAAATCTCAAATCAATAATGACAGCAAGAGTTTTTTGCTCCCCACAATTTAGAACCAGCTAGAATAGGCCTTCTTTTCCGATTTCAATCTTAATATGCTTAGACTGTTTGGTCCAGATATACTGTCTCGTGCAATGGAAAAAAAATATCCCTCCACTCGTGTAGTTTGCCATTGCTCGCTTTGAAATCATTGAGTTTGTTAATCAACATTTATTAAAGTTTTACAAAATATGAAACAGACAATAAAAAAAATTCCAAATTTGGCCTTCCAGATGTCCATATTTGAGTGGACATTATTCAAAATTTGATGCTTCCAGGTACCGTTGTCTTTTCACAGTGTGAGAAATATACATATATTGATACAGATTCTTTTTATTTAATTTCTTTGAATATAATGCAGAGTTCTAATATTTGGTGGCAACAATTTGAAAAGTAAAACTCCATTTAAAGTGAACCAATGCAAAATGCTAAAACGAAATTTATGGCCCTTTTGGGCAAATTGTCGAACAGATATAATAGTAATATTAAAATAAATGTAATAATAATCACTATTTGTTATATTACTAATGATTAAAATTCAGATCATGACAAATAACAATTAAATGTGTGCTTATTCTAAATCCTATGCTTACATAAAAATATACTCTGCTCTGGAAAAAGTGATCCTTGATAATAACATTAGAGTCACTTTCAAATGTAAACTATAGGAGATTTTTAAGAAATTTATTATGTGTCTACTATGTTTAAGAATTGAAAGGCTAGCAGCGAGAAGGGCCCAGTTCCACATAAAAAAAAAAAAAAAAAAAAAAAGGGGGGGGGGAAATTCAAAAAATTCACTTTTTAACTTATATTCCAAACGTTTGTCCTCATTAAAAAAGTGCTATTAAAATGATTTTTTATGGTTACTCATTTTTATGGCTTTTTACTCGAATGCTCAATTATGTTCTTTTTTTAACAAAAAAGACTCATGAACACAAAATCAACCAAAGTGGAGTTGAGCCCTTTCTGCTACAAGCCTTTCAATTCAACATATCTGTAGTAGAAGACAGCATGTTTTATTTATAATATTTTCATGGTTGCCACTCGAATAGGAGAATGAAATTCCCTGACTTTTCCAGGTGTGTTTCAAGAAAATTCCAGTCTATCCGCATAAAGTACGTTGGCTGTGCTAAGAGGTAAATTAATTATGGTATTACTTGTATTGTGTAGTAAATTCACTTAATTATTCAATAAATCCCAGAGGACATTTCTTCTTAATTATGCTTGGCATACTTTGTTTGATAATTTTGTTTACTTTTCCACTTAAGAAACTTAATAAAATTTAAGATATATACATTGGGTAACAATTGTATGTTTTATTTAATTATTACTCATGATCATCACCAGTTCAACACAAGGCTAATCCGGTCCTTATAAATCACAACGCAATGCTAAATAGTTAGGTTAGATTTTAGGGAAATTTAATTTGTGTGAAGTGTCTTCTTAAAAAGCACCTTAACACTTGAAAAATACAAATATAATTATAATAGGAGTTGTTTTCTTCACTGAAGATTGAGATTAGAATCTGCCCAATCTGGAATAAAATAAGGCTTTTTTTTGCAGACATTCTGCAGCTAAACGAAAGAAAGAAATCTATTTAATGATATTTTTTTTAGTAAATTGAGGTATTTTATATTTATTTCGCAGCATATATAAGGAAAAAATATGTGCATTAAATTTCGTGATGATATGTCATCATACTGCTAGAATTAATTTCAGGATTATGCCAGAGAAAATTTCCTGAAATTTGGAAATATTATTTACTAATAATACATAAATTTGGAGGAAAGAAGCAACATTAAATGATACGATTTACATAAAAATAAAGATTATTAAAAACTGAATTAGAATAATCAACGATATTTTAGCAAATATAGTTATATTTAATGGTTAGCCTAGATGACCAATTACTATTTTTTTATTTTACTGCAAAATGACAAATAAGGAAAAAAAAAAAAAAAGTTTAAAAGGCTTTGTGGTAAAATCCTAGTATACGGTATGGCCTTGGCATGATTTTGAAAACTGTCGCCAACACAAAAATGTGTGTGTGATTATGGCAAAGCCTCGAGAGCTATCTGCCTAAGGGGAGGGATGCCTTCGTGGAGGACTTTCTAAGGGAAACTGGCTCATATACATGTTACACATGGGGAAAACCATGAAAACGTCCAAGCAACTAGCTTGTTCGCGGGATTCAAACCTCGGACCGAACTACCAGTGTTCAGCGACTTTCCGCTCGGCCACTGGTAGGCTCCAACACCCAAATGACCCATTTACTGCTCATCATAATGTCACCATATGTGTGTACCGTACATGGAGGTTATTCTAACCAACGAACGTCTATGTAAAGAAGGAAAGGTTCCATAGACATAATGCTATTACGTCGCTAGAAAGTGGAGAGAAATTTCGCCAAGGGATTTGGTGACGGAACCTGGCGGCCAGAAGTTCCCTCTCCGTGATATGTGCAGGAAATTGAGGAACACGTGTTAAGAAGAAACATTATTTGACAAAATGTTTCTTCTTTGATTTTTCGCAATAATTTAAACACGGATTTTGGTAGCTCCTTCCTTCAAAATAACTAATCTATTAATTAATTTACTTGCGTGAAAAAATATTTTCTTTTGCTTTAAAGAAATTTTAAACGAAATTAATTTTATGAACACTCGATAACATGACCTTCGAACTTCGACACCGGCTTCGAGCTTTGGTGACAGATATATCGCGCATGCACAGCTGTTTCCCTCTATGATGGAATGGAGCCATGTCTGTTGCAGAGAGGTTTTCCTTCTTTATAATACATAGTCTTCGATTCTAACCTCCATGATACAGTATACTAGGATTCAACTCATTTTGTTTTACACGAGAACAGGTACTTTCTTTCGTTCAGGCACTGCACATGCGATTCTCTCGATTCTCGAGGTTCCTGGAAACCAAAAGTTGTGGAAAACTTGCTTTGCCTTTCTAAAAGACAATCAAATTGGAGTTGCAAAAATTGGCTCTATGCCAGCTGCCCGAATGACACTCACGTGATACACAATTCGCCAAGAAATTTATCTCTTCCAACGTCGGCACAAAACTCGCTTTTTTTGGCAGGATCGTTGCATGAAATTCCCTGAATTTTTTGGTCAATTTTCGAATTCCCTGACTTTTTCCGGTTTTCCAGGTAACGTGGCAATCCTGTATTTTTTATGTATTGTTTAGCTTATGCAGAAGAATTGAATTCATATATGATGCACAATTTTGAAATCTGCAAAATAAATTTGTATATAAAATAAAGCACATAAAATGAAGTTAAGTAACACAGCAGAAAATAATATGATGAAAGTAAAAATTTACGAAAGGGGGAAAAATGACTTTAACCTTTTGATTAACATTCTTTATAACAAGTTCTGTATCGCATTACAGTAAAACTGGAAACAAAAATTTCCTGCCTATTATGAAATGGACAAGAACTGCCTAATCTCTCTTTACATTTTTTTGATTAAGTGATTTATCAAAATGGTAAGGCTTCAAATAATAAGAAATGTAAACATTTGAGATCTTTTTGCCATCACTTAATTCACACACAACTTTGAAAGTATTTCCCTTCATTTGTTCTACAATCAATCTTTACAGAAGGCATCAAAACAATTATACTTTGCTGTACATATTATTTCCTGCATGATTGACTGCTATTTTCTGCATTTTTAAACATTTCTAGGTCTCTTGGAATACTATGTTGTAATTCTTATCTGAATGTTAACAGGTTTTTAAATCTTCAAAGGAATCATTCCAAAATATTTTAAATTTCATCTGCTTGCCTCGGGAAATCCGTTTCATGATCCCAAAGTCTGCATACATATTTTTATTGAACAATTTTTCTTGCTGACAAAGAGTACCAAAAATATATTCCTATTCTTCAAAACGTCTCCTCTACTTTTTTTTTTTTTTTAAATCCCATCTTAGCCTTTTGTTAGCTTTCTGAAAGTTGTTTCACTACTGAAAAAATATGTTAATAATATTTTCTTTTGCTTTAAAGAAATTTTAAACGAAATTAATTTTATGAACACTTGATAACATGACCTTCGAACTTCGACACCGGCTTCGAGCTTTGGTGACAGATATATCGCGCATGCACAGCTGTTTCCCTCTATGATGGAATGGAGCCATGTCTGTTGATAATAAAGAATTAATTGATAATAAGAATCAGAATCAAGTAGAATTTCTCTTTTGCCCTTTTCAGGAACATCTTCAGAAACAAAAATGGCATGAATACTTTCTACATTTAACAAATAATTACAAATATTCACACATTCCATAAAAAGCCCACACTACTGTATAAAACTATCTAAATAAAATAAGTATCTTACCTGAAAATTTTTTATACTCAGTATATCAGCATTACATAAATAACTTCAGATTAAGAATAAGTTTATTAAAAATGCTTCATCCGATAATGGAAATATCCATTATTGGATGAAGCATTTTTAATAATAAATTATCAGCTTTTTCATTTAAAATATAATTTACATTAAAATTAAGTAAAAAAATGAACAAAATTTACTTCTATTATCAGACGAAATATTTTTAGTAAAACATTATCAACTATTCATCTCAATTTATCCCCCCAAACTTTTTTATATAAATCCCCTTCCCTCTTAAACTTTTATTTTGAGATCCTCTCAGATTAAAAATAACAATATAAAATTTAAAATTACTCATTATGCAACAGAACTATGAAAAAATTGTTCAAATATAAAATGTAGCACAGATGAAATAACATACTAAATAAAAGAACAAGTTGAACACTGAAGTCATGCATGAATGTTCAGGAATTCATAATTAATAAAAATATATTCAAACTTAAATGTTATAAATACATACTCGCAAGTATCAATTTTGCGTAAAAATTAGTTTAGTCGAACAATAACATGGACAGAAATGTTAGGATGAAACATCAGATGAAATCACAAAATTGGACTGCATTTGTATTACTATACAGAAACAGATCTAAATCAATTAACAGTACAGAGGAACAGAATTCCCAAAAGCAGTATAAATGAAATAAACCTTCCTCACCTCCATCCATATATTTTAAAGCTTTCTCTGCATCCTCAGGATTTGCAAATTCTACAAAAGCAAAACCACGAGATAGATGAGGTCGATCACGATCAATCACAAGGTCCACATTTCTCAAAGGACCATATGTACCAAATATCTCCTCTACGTGGTCTTTGGTGACATTTCTTGTGAGACGACTAACTTGTATTTTTGTTAATCTAGGTGATGGACTTTTGCGTCTTCGTTTAGGAGTTGGTGTTCTAGATTATACAAGAATTCATTATTATTAAAATGGGAAAATAAAAGTAATTAAAAAACATTTTATATTTTTACTTTAATGCCTTAAAATATTCCTTAGCACTTTTCTTACACATGATGCCATTTTACACTATACTGTGAAATGTTCTATAGCAAAAAATGCCAAATAACGTTACCTGCAAGATTCAGTGCATATGTAGTTGAACTCAGCTTTTATGATTTCAGCTGATGCTAGCAGCTCATTTTATATGTAAATACATGTTCATTTTCAACTTATGCATTAAATTTTTATAACTAAATTATAGCTGAATTTTAAAAGCAAAGCATCCAACAAATACAATAACACTACATGGGGGGGAAAAATAGAGTATGTAAAAGATTACCATAGCAGAAGAAGCTAAATACATGGTTCATGCACATTTCTGCATACGGAAATTAAGTACTTTCAAGGACCATAAATGAAAAAAAATTAAGGACCTATAAGCAAATGGGAATTGAATAAATTCAAATAAAAATATTATCTATAGCTAAACTTCACTTCTGCAATATCATTGCACTATTATTAAACATAATTATTAATAAGTTTGAGAATAAATAAACTTTATGAAATTTATCAAATAGCATAAAATATTTTACATTTATAATAGTCAGACATATTTAAAAGAAGATAAGTGACATTTTATTTACATTTTTTACTAACAGTTAGCTTTATGTTGAATTTTTTTTTATGTCTCATTTTGTCACATATTTGCTCAGTCTAGAGGTTTAAATAGCAGGTAGATTTTATGTTAAGCAACATAATGATCTAAAAATGAGAAGCTAAAATGAGAAGTAAAATCATAATCAGCATGATTCATAACAAATGACTAGCTGTTGTCATCGCTGCTGCTTGCCTAGAAAGAAGCTTGCTGATCAGAAAAAACCTGGAAGACCTGATCTAGGCATGGTTGGCAAGTTTTGAAAGTTAGTTAGGCTCTGTCTGATGCAGTGAGTGTTGTAGCTTCGTGTAGAGTTCCAGAGGTTGTAACCCAGTTAATATACTTTAATGTTCCAATAAGCCAAAGCACCATAGTGACAAGTTGTTTTGTATTATTTCAAATCTCGATAAATGCGATAGTTTTACTTGAATTTTACATTTTTCAGTTTTATCTTGTGACCACGGTAAGGATAAATGAAACGTAATAACTCCCTTTAATATGCAGAGATAATTTTTAAGGGTAAGAAGTTAGTCATAAATAATTTAAATTAGCTAGTTAGATAACCTCAGTCATTATGGATTTACATGGCCACTATTAAATTTTATTTATTTTTAACATTATTTCTTTAAAAAGTCCTATTAAAATCACAATCTAATAAAACTTCACAGTTTAAAATATATGTAATTTATGACATTGATTTTTAAATGATTAGGATAATTACACATTAACACCTTTATGTTTTAAACATTTATGTTTAGTAGCAACAATACTAAAATATTTATTTGCCCTTTTAATTTGAAGCCTTTCCAGATATTTTGTTTAATTTATATAAATTTTCTTCTCTTTAAGCACCTTTTTTAACAATTAGAAATTTGTATCAATATGCAAACCAGTGTTCTCACTAGTTTCTGTGTGCTTTTTCTCCTAACATGTGAACCTCTCCACAATGTACCTATGAGGGTTTATTTGATCTGGTAAAAGTTAAATAGTCCAAAATCCCCCCTCCCCACAATGTGAAGCAAATTATTGCTATGTCTGAAAGTAACTACGAAGTCACACAACAGTTTAAATAAGCCTCTTATTTAAAAAGAACTTAGAACATAAATGCATGTTCTTATGCTAACAAAATCCATTACAGCTCATGGTGATGTAATTAAACAAGAGTCAAATTCAAACTAAATATGTGGACTCAAAGACTAACTAGTATAAGTTTAATTTATGCTGGCTCAGAAACTCTATTATCATAACAAATTCAAATGTTAGCAATGATAATCCAAAGACGAATAATTACAAATAATCAGAATTACAAATAATCAGAGCAGGCAGGAACCAATGCAGCAAACAAGCGGAGGTAAGAAACACACTCTGTCTTACACCCCCAAAACCTCAATTTAAAAACTGCCTAAGTGATTTGCAGTCTGGTGAGCAAATTGAAATAAGAAATTATAGTAAAGGCTGAAATTATCAACAACTGGGTAATTTACATAACTGAACATATCTTCGAAGAATAATTTTCTTTCTCTTTATGTATTCAGTTCCTTTCTTCAACGCACTTCCTTTTCATTTTAGAATTTCTGGATTTAAAGATTTCTATTATTCTTAAAAATTACATGCATTTAGAATGTATAGAAAAAGCTCCTAATTTTAATTTAGTCATATGAACATTCAGAAGAAATATGAACTATATATGGTAAGGGCTGGTTATTAGTCCTTTATCAAAGAAGATCTTGCCTAAGCTATACCATTTCTTATAAATTACTATACCATACCAGTTTTTCCATTTCATGATAAATGCTAATTAATATAAATAATTTGCTATGCCATCAATGTTTTTTTCTGTAGCATCTATTATTTCTTTTATATTAAAAAAAATAAGCTGTAACCTATGTGTGTATGTTTACATGCATATATATATATAAGAGAGAGTCAGAGTTGGAGTCTTTACAATTCCAGAAGTCGGAGTCAGAGTCGGTCATTTTCCCTACCAACTCCACAGCCCTGCAACGAATGCATTCAAAAGATAACCATATTTGTCAGCGATTGCCAAACATATTCCTCCAAAATGCTAATTCACACTAAAAATGGCAGTTGTTAAAACAGACAGAAATCTCTGATGATTAAAATTAAGGACCTACTACCCATTTTGGGTGAAATTAAGGACATTTAAGGACCCAAAATCAATTAAAAAAAAAAGCTAAGGACTTTTAAGGACCGTATGAACCCTGTAAATACAAAAGATGGAAAGGAAATATATTAAAAATGCCACCAAGTATGCAAAAATAATAAACACTGATGATCTTGCATATTAATATAGATATTTAACACAACCTGATCTATGGAAAATTTTAAAGGAAATTTTCTCATTTTTGTATTTAAAAATATACGTACTTAACAAATTTCTTTTAGAACAATAATCTAATCAAAAGAAATTCCTATTCCTCACATTTAAAGATAACATTCTGGTACTAAGACAAATGTACCAGGATTATATTAATCCCCTGAGTGGTATGATTGCCTTTGTTTGATCATGAATTCTTTTTCATTTGGTATATTAGTTTATAATTTAAAATACTTTATTTTCTTTAAAATGCAAACATCATCTTAATGAATGGAAGTTTATGAAAAGAAAACTAAAATCCGTAATTATAAAATTTAGCTAACACATATTATTTAATTACAGTTCTTCATAAGCTCATTCAAAGAGCTGCACTACTCAGAGGTTAAAACTACACTTAATTTAAGAGAAAGTATAAAAAGATAAAACACCTTGCCAAATTTCTCTTTCCACGACCACTAACTCTTCGTGAACCAGATGACCTGGAAGAAGACGACGATGATGATGAAGATGAACTAGATCTGGAATGTGACCGGGCATCTGATGAACTACCAGAAGAAGAGCTAGAACTTGACGATGATGATGATGACGCAGACCGTCTAAAATATAAAAGGAAAAGGCAATAAATACTTGTGAAATTTATAATTATAAAGTGAAACTTTCCCAAGATGACAATCTATGGAGCTTGGTGACTTTAGAGATGATTGCTTTAGCAAGATGATTTTGTATTTAAACTGCTGCATTGATGCTTATTTACATTCTCAGAAATACTTGCTATTTTCAGGTGGTCACTACAAGCAGTTTCACTGAATACATATTAAAAATTTAATTACTTGGCTTGTATTAAGTTACAAAAGAATAAAAATGTATGCATGTTTTAAATTTGCATAAATCACAATTAAAAAAGCTTACTATTAAAAAGACTACAAAATTTAAGAAAATGCTGAGTTCTAGAAAACACACACAGAAATAAAATACTTTTCACACAATTTAAATAAAATATAGAACTTAAAATAATGTTTCATATGAAAAAATTATTTTGATACTCAGAAGGATGCAGCATCAGAACACACACCGCTCTCCGATGGGAATTTAAACAAAGAGATTTTGGTCACGCTGCCCCCCCAAAACTTTTGGGCATGCGGCCCTAAAAAGATTCGCCACCACTGCACTAGAGGTTGCAGTATACAATTTCTTCCTCTACGGACGTTTGAAACGAGAACTTTCCAAATGCAAGTCTTCAATTATTGACAACTTAAAAAATACATGAGAGGCAATTACAGCAAAATTTACTACTTTGAATGTTGATTAGACATAAAAAGATATATACACAATTTCAGGATACATTTCTGGATGTATTGTATGAAAGGAAATATTTGCATAATAACCTCTACTGTTAAATAATGAAGAATCTGTATGTTTGTGTATTCCTTGCATCGTGGAAAAGCTATTTCACCTAGAGCCACCAAACTTTGAATACACATAATCTTCCAACTGAACATGTGCACCTCAAGGCCAGAATTCTGAATTTTTTATTTATTTCATATTGAGTATGAATTTAACGAATCTTATAAACAAACTCAGCAATTTCAAAGCGAGCAGTGGCAACAATGTTTGAAATAAAACATTTTTATTTCCAGAGTGCCAGACAGTTGCCATTTGACAAAATGTAAAATATTACTTTTAATCAATAACCTTCGCTATTTGAAAACAGTGTAACATAAATGGTCTTAGGAGCAATTAGGAACAACTACCAGCTAGATACAGATTTCTCATTGGATTTTGTTGTGTGATGGCATCCATACTTTGTGCAGCTAAGGGAAACAATGCCGAGATTTACACAATGCATGTTTAACAATGAAAATTTTTATATGAACTTCCTTCTATTACAAAGCATGTTCTCAATATACATTTTTCACATTTGTAAAACTATGCGTTATTCTTGGATACCATCTACATTTACTGTTTTTAGGTCAATAAAGGAAGACCCCTCTGAAAACAATATCATATCCGTCCCAAATACTAAAGTAGATGGTTCTGCTTTGACAAACCAAAAGAAAACTTTCTTTGAAGCAGTCTGTTTACTATTCTTTGACTTTACAAACTGCAATGAATAAAAAATGAGTCAACAGCTATGATAGAAATCACATAAGACGTCAACTGCCTAGGAAACAATCGCAGCTGTAAGGAAAGTAAGGAATATACGCAAGTGTCACTACAGAGAACAGGCATCATATCATGACCAAAAAGGAAGTAAAGAAGCCACTGCATGTACTTTCCATTCAGTTGTTACTTAACATAAATGACAACTGGAAGCATAAAGGAAGAATTAAGAGCAATCCTGATGGCAGAAACACTTTCTCCTTTTTTCATGTAGTAAAACTATTTCTTCTTTGACACATTCATTTCTCAAATGTCATATACAAAGCAACATGCAGAAATACAAAACACATATAGTAAGTTCCTTTCTTTTCCGATCATTTGATATAATGCTTATTCTCTTTAGTGATACCTTCAAATGCTTATTATTTTTGTACTCACAATGATGGCTTCTCTGAAAAATAATGTTATTGTTCTGTCTTGTAAGGTTTTTCACTATATATCTTTTTTTTGAGCAGTTCCTTTAAATATCTCTTGGTAATGATAAACTCTTCGAAAATTCATTATCTAAACCAGGGATTCACAATCTTTTTCTTACATCGACTCCTTTTAAAAGAATGGTTTTCTTCAACAACCCCTTATTTTTCTCTACTATATACAATGCACAACATAATCATAAGAGAAATAATTGCCCATAAATAATGTAAAGATAAAAATTATAATAAGAATATGAAATTTTTTTTTTATTTTTTGAGGGGGAGAGGTTTATTAAATTTATGTTTTTTTATTTTTGAATTTTTTACAAATATTAACAAGTTTTCAGAAGGAAAATCAAACTCTAATTGCAAAAAAGTTCTATTTTAGTTAATGCAATTTTTTTAACATTCTACATAAAACTAATCTAATTTTTAAATCACCTTGTTCAACACTCGGCCTGTTTCTTGTTTTCGGTAGTAAATTACTGAGTTGACTAAAACCTGCTTCTTCTAAGTAAGAAGAGGGAAAACTCAACAATGCTGTTTGGTAACAACTTTTATTTCAGGATATTTCTCTTGAATGATTATTAAATTCCAAAATTTAGCATACATATGTGTTTAAAAAAAAAAAAAAAAAAAAAAAAAAAAAAAAAAAAAAAAAAAAAAAAAAAAAAAAAAAACTGCACTTAAACATCCTGCTTCAATACAATTAACTCTTTTTGTGTCATAATTTCAAGATCCAAGTACACTGCAGTTCAGCAGTTTTGTAAGTCATGCCAGCACATTCAAATTTTAAATGCCTTAGAAACAAACATTAAAATCTTCTTTTAAATTTTGCAAGCAGTTTCTATATACCATACATTCAAGTGTATAATGTGCACATGTAATTTCAAACTGCACTTTTTAGGTATATTCGGTAATAGTGAAGAACAAAATTTGATGATGTGCCTGATGATATAATGAAAGAAGAATATGAAAAACTTTTCATCTGATAACGAAAATTTTCAAGTTCTTAAGGTATGCCATTTTTTTTAAACAAACAGCATTAAAGAAAATGTAGAAATCTAATTTTTGTACAGCCAGTTTTCCTTATTTTTATATTCAATGCATAATGCACATCCATAAATTTCGATCTTATTTTTTGTAACAATCTTCTGATGAAGTTTTGCATTCTTGCATTTTTCCCTTGTGTTCCTGTAATTTTTTTTTCTCAATATATTGTACCTTTTTGCATAAAAATTTTTTGTACTTAAAAAAATAATGATATAAAAAAAATATTAAATAATTTTTTTGTATTTTTTCCGATATACTTATTTTATCGTTTCTTTCATACATTATAGAGCTTTATATCAAAACACAATTACCAATTTTACAATATCATTATTTATTATTATTATTTTACAATCAATGGTGTTTTTATTATGAGAATCATGCATATCGATTCCCAGTTGAATCCTTGATCAACATTGATCCCCATTAAAATTTTATCGAGCCCCAATACAACCTCACTGGGAACCCCTGGTCTAAACTAATGTTTCCCAAACTACTTATGACTTTAATGAAATTTTGCTTTAAGTGAAACTTTACCTTTGATGCTTCCATGAAAGATTATGCAGCATAGCTAATTTAATGGATATAAGAGGAAAATTTCAATTCAATTTATACTGCTGTCTCTAAATTCTGAAATTAAAAGCATTTCCTATCAATAATAATAATAAAAATAATAATAAAAGACAATACTAACAGGTACAATTTGTATTTTAACAGAATGATTACTACTTTTGTACTTAATGTCATTTTTTTTAGTAACACCTTAAATTTTATTTAATTGTATTTTCCCATCAAAACTCAGATTTTTTTCCCCTTTCAAAAATTATTTGTAGTTACTTAAAAATATTTAATTATATGGAGCTATTAATCAATTCATACCAGAAAGCAAAATAACTTGATTACCTGGCTTTAGACAACGTAAGATGCATATAGAAAATATGAGTTTAGTTTTTGCTACCTTTTCAGCACTCTTTTACTTTCTGCCCTTTTTTACTTATTTTTAATAACTTTTCCAATAAATACAGTGCAAAGTCCGAAATCCGGACTCATCAAGACTTCGGTAATTCCGGATATTAGATCATCAATTTAAATCTAGTAAGATGGCATGCAGAAATTATACAATTAAAAATATGAAATTGTAATTTATGAAATAAAGAACAATTATGATCTAAAAAGTATCAAAACTTACAAAAAAAAAAAAAAAAAAAAAAAAAAAAAAAAAAACATAATATTTATTTGTTTACTTTATTAAACATTCCATACTCCTCCCATAATTTTGAGATGGATATGCCTTTATCCATTTTTTGCAGCAATTCCACTTTTTGTTTAATGGACATTGAAACATGGTTTCACTTTGTAGATCCTTTGGCAGCTCCAGAATTGGAAACTCTTTCCGACATAATTGAAAGTTCAAGCTTAGTTTTTATAAAATTGCCATAATAATAATAACAGTGTGCAAAAAATAATAAGCTGGATCAAACTAGAAGATTAGGGAGCAGCGCAGATTAACTGAATTCCGCTACATTAACTGAAATGCCTTAGAATCAGTAAAGATAATTTTAGCCTAGCTTAATAGCATCTGTTATACATTATTGGCTGTGTATCACAAGATTGGCGACGAAAGCCAAGTTGTTTCGCTAAATTTTGTTTTGCAGCTATTGCATACTGAATTGTATTAGTTTAATTATTTGCTATACTTACGTTTATTTCTTGCACATGCTTAAAACTAATCTGATTCCTGAATAAAAAAGCTCTCACATATACTTAAAACTTTATCTAGGATGTGCGATAAATATCGCCTGGTGCAGTCTCTACGGGTCTTATATTCTGCTACAAAGCGTCTTCCTAAGTTCTAAATTTTCACTGCACCTAAACTTTGCATCCCAGTGCTTTCCCTAAATCATAAGACAACACTGCATGAGTTATTACTGAAGCTGTCCTGTATTGATAAACATGCGGTGATGACAGCAAAATATAATAAATAATGACTCGCCAGGTCGGCGTCAGGGATATACAATAGGTGAATATTTCGGTTTGAGATTTATGCCGAGAAGATACTCAGCTATGGAGCCAAATTATTAATATCGCAAATTTATGCTTACATGATTGTTTTTCCGTAACAAGGTATTTTATTTAGTGCCTAAGTGAAATTAAGAATCAGAATTTTTAAGTGAAAATCTTCACGTTTTATTATGGAAGGAAAAATCAAATGTGCATGCGTAAAGCATATATAATATATATATATATATATATCATATATTCGGATTTCGGACTTTGTACTGTACTGACTAATACTACATAAACAACTGGGCATGAAATTTTGTCCTGCTATGAATCTGCCTGCCATGAATGATTCTTAATTTGAAGAGTCTTATTATTAAAGCCCTAATAATGAAGACCACGCTTTCTGGAGTTACGATGAAGCATGATTATAAAATTACACTTTCAATTCTACCACAGGCAACAAGCCATCAATTTTCATCATACCAGTTAAGCAGAAGATTAAAAGCAGCAAAAAGTAAGATACAGTCAAAAGTCGTTAATCCGGACTCGTTGGAACTTCGGCGATTCCGGATTATCGATTTTTCCGGATTATAGATCATCAGTTTAAATCTCGTAAGATGGCATGCAGAAATTCTAAAATTAAAAATATGAAACCGTAATTTATGAAATAAAGAACAATAAAATTTACAAAAAAAAAAAAAAAAAGCTTAATATTTATTTGTTTATTTTATTAAACATTTCTTTTAATTTAAGTTGTTTAAGTTGCTTTGTTTTATGTGATAATACTTTCTCTTTAATTCTATAAACAGACATAATTTCTTGTTCAGTTACAAGGTTCTGCTGTTCAAGTGCAGTTAATTGCTGTGCCGAGAATACCGACTAACTTGTCAATCGAAATTTTTTCGTTTTCACTAACCTCTCTATCACATTCTTCATGTCTTTATACATTTTTTGCAGCAATTCCACTTTTTGTTTGTTGGACATCGAAACATACTTTCGTTTTGTAGATCCTTTGGAAGTTCCAGCATCGGAAATTCTATTTGACATAATCGAAAGTTCAAGTTTACTTTTATAAAATTGCTTTTACAGTCTGCAAAAAATAATAAGCGGGATCCAATACGAAGATTGAGGAACAACGCAATCATTAACATTAACTGAAATAGATAATTAGAGCTTACACCGTCCGTTATACATTAAACGCGCAGGCGAAACGTATTCTGCACTTGCGCACACGCATATGCACAGTAATCAAGGTCTTATGCGCACGCGTAAAACGCCTGTGCGCATGTGCCAACGTGGCGCATGCGCAGAAAGTTTTTAGCTTTGAGGTCCGGATTATAGATCATTCCGGCTTATGGGTGTCCGAATTAAGGACTTTTGACTGTAATATATTTTTAAAATTTTATTTATATTTTAAGGAAGGTTAAAAAAAAAAATCCATTCTGTGCCAGCAGAGTGATAGTCATCATTATCTCCCACACATTCTATACTTTTTATGTTTGTTGACAATGTGTATATTTGTATTTGGAGCAGTATCTTAGACATGTACCTCCTACAAAGGCCATCCACTAAATATTTGCATAAAAAGTTATTCTTAATGAAATATATAAATTGGTCGATCTACTAAGACTACAACTTACTTATTTGCAGTCTTTGCTTCTGCCTCTTTGCTGCGAGTACTAAAATAATAAAAAAGTTACTAAGTTCTAAAATTCAAAAATGATTTTTAGGCATTGTTTCAGATAAAATATGCAAATGACTTTTGATTCTTAAAAATATTTGCATAGATTCTACACACAGCTTATTAAAAAATCAGTTTCGAGTAACAAATGCAAAATAGTACGATAATATGAAAAAAGTTACAGCTTACAAAATTCTATCTCTGGAGTTAACTCAAACATTTTGAGAGAGTGAAAAGGACCTGTTTGCACAAAGCTATTTTAATTCTTTTTAACATCAAAACATCAAACAAAGTGAGAATTTTATGAGTGTTTAAACAGTAATTTGAAAAGACACTAAAAAACTTAATGAAATTGCTATTCTTTTCCCCATCATATCATAAAAACTGGAGTATAATTTAATAACATCTCTAATATACATTCATATCAGCTTTCTACCATATATTTCATAATTTAAGGCTTCAGATCACAGTACATGATACCTTACTCATGGCAGACACATTGCAACTTGTTGCAAATGCCAAGCAAATTAGAATTTTTTATTGTTTATACCAAAATTTGTTTAATGAATAAAGTACCTTCAATAAACTATGAATTTTAATCAAAATGTATTTTAAACCCTATAACAGGCATCTCATAAATCATCTGTAAGCATAATCCTTTAAAAGCTTGCAGGGCGTAAATACCCATGCACATTTCTGTTGTAAATGCTAATATTTGCTGCTTTATATCGGGTTTTAACGAAAGTTTCCTGCCAACACAAATATTGTATGTGCAAAATCATATCTTGTCAAACGATTTTTGGCATTTGAAAGAAAGAGACTTGCTAATACTGTAATGTGAAATTTATAAAAAAATATGGTTATTATCAAATACAAGGTATCTAAAATTGAACTACTACATTATCAGATTAGAAACATCATTTACTTTCAGTTCTGTTGCAAAAAGTCAGCTACAGAATATCACCAAATCACGTGTACAGTTTTAGGTGCTAACATTGTATCATATGGCACTGTGCAGGTTTGGTACCAAAAGTTCTGAAATCAGATAATTAGCTGTGATAAGTGTTCTTCAAACATGATTTCTATAACTAAAAAAAGATACAGTTCATCTGATATCAGAAATTGCTACAATATTAAACAACAATTTTTGCCTGCATCTTCATTCAATTTTCTTCTCCATAGTTTCAATTATTTTATAAACTGATATTTTCCACCCTTGACTTCAGAAGGTGCATGCATTTTCCCTGCAGAAAGATATTAAAAGAATTTAGCTTTTTAAAAACGTCACATAAATATGACAGTTTTATTAAAAAATTATCAGCAGCAAAATCTTCTGCATCTTTGTATCCATCTTCTTTATAGGAAATAAAAAAATTCTGTACCGAAGACGCTTTGGTACAGGAATGGAGAAAGATAGGAGAACAGGCCAAATCATCGAAATAAGAGGGAAAGTAATGCTGGGCATATTTTCCCACCACAATGGATTTTGGGCATAATTTGACATGATACAAAGGATACTTTCCTTGTTGCTGTTCGGAATAGAGATGCACAGTGCTTGCTAAAATGCATCGAAGAAAATGTAAACGAAGGCTCCGTCATCTGCTCCGATTGTTAGAGAGCTTACAAAACTGACCAACTTGAACGAGCAGGCTTTTTTCATCTCACAGTGAATCACAAGTTCAACATGTTAAGATTTAAGGGTGGATCCAGAAACTGGCGTTCATAAATGCAGATAGTACAGGGCATATGGAGGGGGGGGGTCCGCCAAAAAAAAGAACAAGCAGCATTGCGATACCGCCAGAATTCATGTAAGGAAAAAAAAAAAAAAAAAAAGAAAGTAAACAGAAAGGTTCATGTGATCATCGAAGTGATTGCCAAGCAGTTTCCGCCAGAACTAAACATTGGGGTTTAAATAAGTTTTGTCAATAAATGATAATTATTTAGCTTATAAAATGTCTATACTATTTTTTAGTAATTTCTGATGACAGTAATTACAATTTTTTTTTTTCCATTACGATGATTATCATACAGGGGTACAACGGAAAAAGCCCGGAAATTTAATATGATATAAATATGAATGTTACTTAGAGCTTTAGTTAATATTTTTTATTACAGTGGCCATTAGATTTTAAAGGTTACATATCACAAATCTGGAGAAAAAAAAAGTTTGACAATTTTGATGGCTTATTATAGCAACTACTTTAATATGGAAGTTCCCCTCAGTCTTAATTCTTCTTACTTAACTTTTGAGAAATACATATTAGATAATTGTAAATACATTCACTTTACGATCTTGCAAAGTCTCAGCAAAACTGGTAAGCTCAAGATCCCGTATTCCCTCAGAACTGCCTTCAAATTGTCTCATCATTCTTTTTGTATTGGTATCTAGAAACAGTATTCTGTATTTACTTAGTCTCAAAATAAAATAATGAAAAGTAAAATCTGTTATAAGAAATGAGCAGTACATTTTTCCTTCCCCAGGAAAAAATTACTCTCATAATTATGAATTCAAAAAATTTATCGGTAACTAACATGTATCATAATGAAGTCCACAATTTGGTTAGAGCAGATTTAAGGGTGCCCGTTTGATTATCGTTAAGTTGTTGTTTCATTCATGGTAACCTGAGTAGTTGAATGCTATGGAAACCCTATTACGAAGTAATTGATTGTGTGATTGCGGTGAATTTGAATAATGGGAAAAGATTTGGAAAGACCTTGTTTGTGTGTTGGATTTTGGATAAGAAGTATGCTGTTATTTTGTGATTTACACAGTAAAAGGCCTGGATGTGGTAAGATTAATTTGAAGTTTCTGTACGATTTGGAATGAAAGGGAAAAAAGCATTAATTGACTGGTGTGTAAATAAAGGTTGACTTAGTAGCCAATATAAGTGTCCTGTTTGTAGGAAGGAAATGCCTATGATTGAGCATCAGAGGATATTTTTGATTCTTATTTTTGTGAATTTATGTGGCAACCCCAGTATACAGATTTTAATAGTTCAGATAATTTTAGGAAGTTTTTGGATGCTGTTAAGGAATTTTGTTCAACTGAAGACACGGAAATTTGTAAATAAAGTAAGTGGATATTTCCTTTGTGTAGTGCTAAGATAAATTTCCTTTTTTGATTTAATTGTTTGCTTTAATTTACTGAGATTATATATTTTTTGTTGGCTGCCCCTTTGACTTTTTAAGTGAATATAGATCGATGTGTACATGGACAAAGACAAGGAATTGTGCAATACCTAGTTTGTGCAATTCTCTGATACTTTTTTTAAATGAAAATAGGTCGATGTATACGTGGATACCGAGTTTGTGCAATTCTTTGACTTGTTAGTTTGGATTTGTGTAGCAGCAATTTTGGGGTCAAAAATCGGCGCTACACAAAGCCAAAATAACAAGTCAAAGAAATGCACAAAATCAATGTCCATGTACTGCCAAAAATTGCCAAAGGGTACCCGTAAATATATTTTTACCCATAATTTAGTTAAAAAAATATCTAAAAATAATTCTCAACAATAAACTAACACACTTTTAATTACAACACAATCTACAATTTTACGAATTATTTAAAAATAATTTTTAAACATACCGAGCACTACTGCTACTACTACTGGATGATGATGAGACACTACTCCTTCGACTTTTCCTTTTGCTCTCACTTGGTTTTGCTTTCGTTTCACCTTTGCTCAATGCCCTATAAAAGAAATTCGTATAACTTCCAAAGGCTTATTTACTCATTCTTCTAAATAAAATGGAACATTCCTTTAAAAAACATATTATAAAAATATAAGAAAAATGAAAACTCTTTGAAGAGCTACAATTTTAAATGCCACTAGTGTTAATAAAAACACAATTTGTTTTTAATTCAATCCTGAAAGGAAAAAGAGGAAAGCAATGAAAGAATTGGTTATATCAAAGATGCTTCAATTGTAAGCAAATATCTTAAGAACTGCATGACCTAAGTTAAGAAAAAAATAACTGATATCCTTTTAAATGAGTGATCAATATGTAATGATCAGACATTTGCCATTAATAAAACTAAATTCAATCTGATTCAAATGTTTCATTTATAAATACATTTTTCATTTATACAAACAAATATATTACTCGTTCAAACTGAATATAACATATTAAAATGCATTTGATAATATTGAGAATGTAAAAAATTCTTTATGAATCTATTTTTTATGCAAGTAAGAACTTTTAATACGAGTAGTGATGACAATGGGTTTTTCTTTTCTGCACACCTTTTTCATGGAAGTGCTTAAAAATGACTAAAAAGGAAAATAAATCAATAAAAAAAGCATAAAACCACACAATTTTCATCCACTTAATGCATAAAGGTTTTATTCAGGTCCAGTGCCAGACTGGTGCAACCTGTGCAGCTTTTCATGAATTAAAAAAGCACCACATAGCAGAAGTTAAGACCTATACAGATTGTACCAGGTGACAAAATGCCTAGCCCCAGCCCTGGCTTTATTAATAAATATAAAAAGGAATTTTTTGATTATTTGTACTCAAAGTTTCAACATGTGGTAGAATTGAAGCTGCCTTTTCTTTAGCATACACCTGACAGTACTTGGTTCACATGTACATATGTCTGAGTACACATAGATTTAAATGCTTTATATTTAACCATCATTTTACTTTCATTGGCTTCAAAAACTTAAATATTGGCCATATAAATTTTTGTTACTTAACTAATGTTTCTTTTTATTATTTATACACAGAACAGTCCATGTGAACTGTAAAGATATACATTCAAGCATTTTTCACTGATATACACATTTGCTTACCTTTTTGTGAAGACACAGAAAATCAAAATCAACAGAAAGAAAAAAAGGGGGGAAGAGGAAGCTACTAAATTTATATAGCTGCAATGAGTTATTTAAAAAATGGCTTCAGTGTAGAATTGGGTGCCCCTTCGATTGGTGACATTTTTTTAAAAATTTTGGCAAGGAAACCTCACTTCTGGTTACCACGATAGTTTTAACTTTGTTTTAGCTTCCCAATTTTATTTAAATGAAAATAGATTGATGTGTACATGGACATATTTAAGGCAGTGCGCAATGCCTAGTTTGTGCAATTCTAGGATGTTTTTTTAAGAGTACAACTCTAATATACGCCCTAATTTCACCAAATGTGGCGATATGTGTTCTGTGCTGGTTTTTGGCACGATTGCGTGTTCTATGGCAACCCTGTTGACGTTGAAAAATCTTTCGCTGGAGCCATTGGTTCGCCTCTGTGTCTGAGAAGATGGGAGGGAAAGATAAAATGGTAGTTGTTGAATTGAAGATCGGCAAAAGGATATCATTGTGGCTATCCTGTTGAGGGGTAGTGGGTATTTGGAAATGTGGAAAGAGGGTCTGGGAGATTATTTTTAATGACAGTGCACGATAGAAGTAGGGATTTGTGATTTTATTTATTTGTGAACCATAGTATAAATTTTCTGGATAGTAGGTCTGGCTGTCATGTAAATACGATAGTGATTATGTGGCGGCATGTTAAAGGCAGTATGAAATTTATATTTCTGCTATTCGAAAACGCATTAATTCATGGTAAGTGCATTTTATTTTATCCTTGTTCTTATTTTGTAGAATGTTTTGTTCATTGGTTCTTTAGTGTGAATTTCTGTTGTCATTGTTGTTTTTTTAAATTGTTTGAAATTTATTTTAGTTTATTTTGTTGTTTAGTGTCTAGACTGTGCAATTCGTAGATGTTTTTTAAAGTTGAAACAGAACGCTGTGTACATGGTATTATTTGAAATTTATTGTTGTTATGTTATTTTATTAAAGCGAGGAGTGCATAGATCGTAGATTCCTTCCTTGCCTAAATTGTGCAATTCGTAGAATTTTTTTAAAGTTTAAACAGGATGCTGTGTACATGGTAGTCTTTGAAATTTATTTTTGTTATGTTAATTTATTAAAGCGAGGTGTGCATAGTTTGTAGATTCGTTCGTTGCTGACATTATGCCTTTTGTAGATGTTTTTTTAGGTTAAAACATGTCGCTGTGTACATGGATTCTTGTCAAATATTTTTGGTTAGAAACTTTACGTTTTTGCTATCTAAATTTTTTGTTTTTGTTTTGGATTTTTAGCTAAATTGTGTGTTCAAAACGTAGTTTTTGCATGTGCGAAAACCGCGTTTTTGGAGACATTTTAGGCTAAAAGTTCAAAACGTAGACAAAAAATTTAGATAGTAATATGGCAGCGTGAAGTTTCTTGCCAAAAATATTTGGCGACTTGTGGGCGCATATCAGAGTAGTTCCTTTTTAAGTAAAAACCGATCGATGGACACAGATCTTATGCAATTCTTCAACTTCTTATTTTGGTTTTGTGTAGCGGCCATCTTGAAACTGTGACTTCCTAGCGCCGATCTTGGCGTCAAAAAAGAATCACCAATAAACAAGGGGCACCCAATTGTAAACTTTTACCTAAAAAATTATGGTAAATTAACAAGCATAATCTTAAAGCTTAGTTTATTATAACAGTATCTTCCCAAATGTTTTAGCTTTGCCATACACATATTATATAACTACTAATTATTGCAGCTCCTATGCATATATTTGCTCTGAAAAAGGGGGGGGAGAGAAATGGAAGTCTCAGCAAAGCAATATAATAATTATTACATATAATACTAAAGATTATATAGCAAAAGCTTTTGCTATCCTTCCCCCCCCCAAAAAAAAACTTGAAATCCATCACATTAGAAAACTCAAATGTGCTTTTTAACCAGATAAGTTTCCTACAAACTAAGACTGCATTTCTGTCCAGTTTTATTTCTGACTTTGGTTTGTTTCTTGTTCATAAATACTGATTCTGGTAAAAACTAAGTCTTATTGCGGTTGCAAAACATTTGTTCATGATTAACAGAAATGAATTCAAAGATATAAAGAATAACATTCAAAATACACTTATCATTTCATTCATTTAAATTTGATAAATCAAGACATTTCACAAGATCTTTTAAAAAATTACGTTTCGGTTGTAACATCGTTCGAGAAGTTACTCAAAAGGGATATCAGACACAATAAATCAATTATCATAATTCCGTTTAGAAAAATATAATAATAAACTTACATTTCTATTCACTGTAGAATACAGCTTATATTAGACGGACAGACACAGAAAATACACAGATGTCTTGTTTTGCACTCGCTAATTCTTTCTGTCCACAGAATGAAAAAATAAAAAAACAAGCTTGGTAGAAAGTAAGGCAAACAGAAAAAGGATAATTTGGAATGAGATTTAAAATAAATTCGTATCAAATTATATGAATGTTTATTTATGAATGAAGATAAAAAGCGGGTTTAAGACATAAAATGATTGCACATTCTCCTTTTTTTTATTGATTAAGAGCAAATTCTTGCCTGGCAACAATCATTGAAATTTGAAGCGAATTCCGGCTTTAAAGCGATAAACCGGGAAAATTTATTATTGCGTAAGCTGTTGGCGGTAAATGTGCTCTGCGGATCTTTTCGTTTCTGTATGTTTAGCATTTTTCCACACTGTTTCGTATATTAACTAAACAAATTCATAAAAACATGCTAGTGTATGGACCAAATAATAACACAATATTTCGTTCACCACGACCTAATGGTCAGATCCAGGTATTCGCCAGTTTTTGCAATTTTTGTATTATGAAAATACATTTTGTATATTTCTTAACCGATTTTAGCAATGGTTTTCATTTTCAGGTCATATTTGGCCCCATGTTCTCTGGCAAAACGTAAGTAACTTTTTTTTTACAATCATTTACACGAGAAATAAGTACTTTTCGTTTACTAATTAAAAGAAATTAAGGCATGTATATATTGAAGATTTGAAGTGGTTTGAAACTCTTACATTTAAAAAAAACAACTGGTAGGGGTATTAAAATTATGCATTTCATCAATGCACAAAATATATATATATTTGTTATGTTAGCAAACTTCATTTCCATTAAAATAAATTTTCAGCAACCGAATGTTAAAATTGACATTGTAATAAATATTGCAGTTATAAATTGCCTAAATAGATATGGCTAAATTAGGAATATTTTTTTTAAGAGAACAAATTTCTTATTAAATCCCATGACTGAATGCAAATTAATTTCTCTTAAAAAGTCATCCATGAAGATATCCCTTTTGTTTACCAATCTAAGCAGTGACAGACAGATGATTTATCTTACAAATAGAAGATGTAAGTATAAGTATCCGTAATTGCAATACAATATTTTCTTTTCTTTAGGACTTTCTTAAAGCAGTTTTTCACCCTCTAGCTTATTTTATTGTAAGAATATAATCTATGGTATTGAAAAAGGATCAGATTTTCTTTATTTAAAATTAACACACGTTTTGTATTAGTCATGTCAATTTTGTGAATAATTTAGTAATTGAATATTTTGGTAGATTTAATATTGTGCCAACGTAAATCGCCAAAAATCCGAGTAACCGTCTACCAAAGTAGTACCAACATTATTTGTTTCATTTAATATGTTGCATATTAAGAAGATAATGTCATCTAAAAAGCCAATTAAAGATATTTTCATATTTTTTGGACATAAAAACAAACAAACAAAAAAATACAACTCTAAATTTTTTACTACTTATGCAGTCTTCTGTCCGTCAGACGGTTTACTAGTAGTCTGTCTGATGGAGACCTGGTAAATATGATTGTGAGTGTGATTATTCAATTTATATAGGCCTTTAATAAAATAAAGTATTTTTATAATTGACATGTTGTGTGCTTTAACTACATTGAAGAAGAAGCGGTTTTAAAAAGCAAAAGAAATTAGTTTATTAATAAAATTTTTCAATTTATGTAAACAAACAAGTATTAACTGGACTGTTTTTCAAATAGAAAGAAAAGCAGACCAGCATAAAATTTAAAATTAGCCAAAAAGCAACCGTATATTGCTAATTATGCCAAAATAAGATTGATGTTTTGCTTAATTTTAGATTGTTTTTGAATTATAGTAGAATATGTAATTTTTGAATGAATTTTAGTTTGAATGTATCGTTCCCAGTGGCATATTAGTCCCAAAGAAATCGACCCTGGCAGGAAAAAATATGTCGGCCCTAATGCCCCATATGAAATGTCTTTATAAGTTATCATCATCATCATCATCATCATACAAAATCATTTTATTAAAAAAAATCTGAAAGATTTCAGATTTTATATTACACCCACGCGGGCGTTTCTTTAACCTGTTGTTTATTACCTTTAATTATTAAATATCATGCTCTTCGAACTTAAACCATGCAATTCAATTCTGCAACAATAACAAAATATTTAAAAGAGCATATCGACAGAATTTCAGATACACAAACTCCCACGCTGGAGATAATTTTTTTTTTTTCTTTACAGTGTTGCTATTGCTCACTTTGAAATTGTTGAGTTTCTTAATAAAAAACTCATAAATGCTTTACAAAATATGAAATAGATAATAAAGCAAATTACAAATTTAGTCCTCCAGATGCCCATATTCGGATGTTTGTTATTTAAAATTTGATGGCTCTAGGTACCGTTGTTTTATCCCAATGCGAGAAACATAGATGCATTTATGCAGGTTCTTTATTATTTCATTTTCTTAAATATAATACAGAGCTCTAATATTTGGTGGCAACAATTTAAAAAGTGATTCCGCGTTTATAGTGAATCAACGCAAAATTCCAAAACGAAATTAATAGCCCTTCTAGGCGAATCGCTTCTTTGGGCTAATAAAAATATACCTTTACAGAAAAATAACACTTTATTCATATATATGGGATAAAATCAAACTCGGAAGTGATGACCAACGGAAATTTTGATGTCGTAGAAGTGTTGATCCATAATGAATAGGAAATTGGAAGCAAAGGCAGATTAAATCTTCATTTTTTATTTCAGCAAACATATTGCAGCCGCAAACAAATTGGCACATTACTTGTGCCTGTTCCAAAAAGTTTACATTCTAGATAAGTTTGTAGTAAGAAAGAAGAAGCAGACAGACTGCAGTCAAGCTAGGTGAAAGTGTAGAAAGCAGATGCATTATGTTCAGGGTGAAATCTTAATTCAGACTGAGTTAGTTTTGGTTCTTAATGCATTTTGATTGGATAGTTAACATAGATATTAAATTAATATTGGCTGTTTTAGTTCCATTTACATCATCAGAATTATGTAATTATTTATCTCGAAATAATGCAATGCAAATAGAGGTTACTATTTTTAGAATACAGAAGAGAATTTAAGCTGTTAATTTAATCTTTTACATATTCTTTATTTTTCTTATACACGCACACATATATATATATAGATATATATATATATATATATATATATATGATGTACCAGCTTTTGTCCGGAATAAATAGATTGGTGAAGAATCATAGATGTAGTTGTAGCTCAAAAGTATCAGACGATAAGTTTAAATAAACAGGATCCATTTATAATATTTATTCAGGAGAAATAGCAATTACAAAAATCTGATCTTCCGGAGTAAATAAAAAAGAATTACTAATAACTTTTTGTATTTGAAGTTTACTTGCATCGTGACATTAAAGAAAAGTCCCCTGATATTCCTTTGCGAGTCCTTTTAATAGCCTCTGGAAAGGCGGAGGTTCCAAGAAAATATGTCAGCCTCGTCAGCCATTCCAGTTCGCTTTAAATATTCTCCAGAACATTCTTATAACTATACATGTAGAAAAGGCGGGAAAAGCAACTTGATTACGGGGCTGTGGATTTAATTCCACGTACTTTCAAATAAGAGGCCATCGTCATTAAAAATGAAAAGAACACACAGTTAGAATTTTAAGTGTATTTTTGACTATGGAATTTTATTATTACATATATATATGCATGCAAATAAAAAGCAGACAATAAATAACAGTGGCTAGCAGGGCTGTGAAGTCGGTAGGGAAAATGACAGAATTCCTGGAATTTTAATGACTCTCTCATATATATATGTAAACATATACACATGGGTTAACGATTTTGTTTTTCATATGAAAAAAGTAATAGAGACTACAGGAAAAAAAAAATTTGATGGCATAGCAAATTATATATATTAATTAGCATTTATTTTGAAATGGAAAAACTGGCACTAGTTATTTCTAAGAAACAGTATAGCTTCGGCAAGATCTTGTTTGTTGAAGGACCATAGATCCGATTTGATAAACTTCAGAGCTGAGAAGTCTTTCCACACTGACTTGAAAAGGAGGAACAGCTATTACTGTTAGGACACCTATACTTTTAACTTTTCAGAATAGATTTTTATAAGTCCTAAATGAGTTGTCTTGCAAGAGCAATCATATTTCTCTATTTCTTCAAAGGCCATGTAGAAATATTGTTTGTATTTTTTCATTTTTATATCTAAAAGCACTTGGTTCTTTATTTTCATTTGCTTTGCCTTAGCCTTTTTAACATTATCCAAACACATGTCTCAAAACCTAATTCATCACTGGAAGAGGATGATAGAGATTCGGTTGCAATGTCTGCAGTTTGAATATCCTGATTTCAATACTCCATTTGTTCTCAGAATAATTTCATTCTTATTGAAAGTTCATAGAGTGCTTTCTTTGCCTTCTTAATTTGTTTGTCAACCAACAATATTCGGTGTTTTGGATCTACATATATTGAACCCAGCAAGATCTCATTGCCTAACAAACTAGTTTCTCTTTTCTTCATTGAAGAAATGATTCCTTCTGCAATAAACCCCTCCCATTTCAAAAAGAACAAATATCGCATTCTTCCATTCTCACCTCCTTTTAATTCTTCAGATTGTAGCTTTTTTGTGGCTATATAGTGTAGAAAGAAGAGTTTCCAATTATGAAAGATCATCTTTCTGTTAGTGAAGCATTAGGATTATCTACATCTTCTAAAAATGTTCTTAATTGTAATAACCATTATATCATCAAATATGTACTTCTCCATCATGTTGCTTGATGAATAATTGCTCCTTTTCCTGCTCATTTCCTAAGAATGGCATCAATTTTGGGAGCTATTGCTGCTTACCTAAATTTACCAGGGAGATTTTTAGCTAATGAAGTAACTAAATGAATCGATTTAATCACTAATGGCAAATATCACATCCATCCTCCTCCTTTATATTTTTTATTAATATGTCAATAAAATAAGAAAATATCTATTTATCAATGTATATAGTCCATAAATAAAAATAATAACTCAGTTTGTCATTAATTTTTTTCAATTCACTTTAATTTCATTTCAAATTCAAACTCTCCAACAAAAAATGGAGTCTGAGTCGACCTGTTTTTAGTGACTCATTTTACCCCAAAATCTGCCTAACTTCGATTCGGACTCCACAGCCCTACTGACTAGTAATTATATAAACAAAACAGCAGTTGATTCATCATTAGCCATTATTATTATTATTATTATTATTTTTTAATTTCAGGTGCCTGGTCAAATATTTCCTGCATTATATTTTCAATTTTTGCTTTAGCCAAAATATCCTTCTGTATGTTCACTTAACAGCAACCACTTCAAATAGCTTGCTTTATAGTACTCCTTAATCTACATTTTACAATTTTGAGAAAGCTCTTTCATATTCAACTTGCATTATACATAGGGTACAAACTTATAAACAAAAAAGACATTGGCGTATGCATTACAATGTAAATTATATTTCAAGAGTAACTTATATACACACAAGACACAATTTTTCCAAAAACTGCATCTAGCTTTAGATGAATGCTCATTAATAGATAGATCACTCTCTCCTCCTGACTCAAGGTAATGATTTTCAATTTA